ACCAGGAGGAGAGAGAAAAGAGGACATCATGGTCGTAAGCGAAAACGAAGTGCTGGTATGCCTCGCTTGTGTAGTCGTGTCTTGGTCGTGATGCTCGATCAAGCATCGACGAAGCTGGCTCTCCGCGATGACGATGGCCGAGTCAGCAATGCCACGGGCTTCCCCGCACCAGGCTAGCTGTTCTGCGAGCGACGCGAAACTGACACGGTGCCAGATGCCAAAGCGCTCTACTTACCGGTCCCATCGATACGAGGTTCCAACGCTACACCAAATAGTTGATATCGCGATGTCATCCGTTGTTGGGTTACAGTAGGTATTGCGAAGCTGCATCGCTCGACGTCATGCTAGTGAGTTCACATTGTGGACGTGTGGCGGTTGACTGTATAGCAAGGACAGATTCGCTGCATTCGCGCGACTCAAAATCTCTGATCCTGTGGATAGATTTTTCGATGTGGTTCTGTTGTGATGGGGGTCGGGTGTTCACGATGATATGAATTTGGGATGGCTCCCCGGATGATATGCTGAAGTAGCTCATATGGCGCATAAGTCAGCAGTCTCATGCGTCACTCTCTTACCACCACCACGAGCAGACCTTTTTGCCCATGCTCTATACTGATTTCGAAGCTCTTGTTGTTCCTCTCCGCAAGACCCTGCGCAATCCCGTTGCTTCCGTTCTAAGCTTGTCTCTCCTCGATTGAAGCATCCCGTACGTCCTGGTCATCGTACCCTGAGTATCTCTGCCTATGGAGAAATCTCTCCGGCGCAGCCTAAGACGGTCAAAGTGAGCAGACCAAACCCGAGCGAGATAACATAAAATGACTCTAGACCAAAAGAGACCTCGCAAGATTCCCGAGCGCAGAAAGCACGGTGACAAAATATGTGCTGCAATCGACACCTCCATGTAGTATTACCCGATCAGGCAGTTTCTTGCTTGGTATACATCGCTGTGGGTGTTGACGAGGCCTCGCTGGCAGATGCACTCAATCATCTGGTATCTGCCAAATAATAACTGAGTTCTACAGAATGATTAGGTTGCCGCGCTTTGTGAGATTGTCTCACTCTTCTTGTGGCCGGGCAGCGTAATCCAGGTTAACCTCGGTAGGCCTCTGCTAACTTGCTACACATCATAACCACCTACAGCAACCTCGGCTACTATGATCGCGCGGCACACACAGAAAGGTCTACTTCTACTACGACAAAGTTATCTTATATTATCTCTAAACTGTATCACGAGAAATCTTCACCACAGTTTGGAAGACCAGCAGGTGATAACAACATTATTATGAATATCAACACCCAACACGACGATATAGATCTCGTCAGCCCGCCTGATCTTCAGAACGATACTGTCCCTCATGAGGGTACGGAACAACGTTTTGTCCAAAATCATTCTACATATGATGGCGGAACTGCAGCCTGGAGGATCTTGATCTCTGCCTTCATATTCGAGGCTCTGCTCTGGTGTATGCCATCCCAACCCTGACCCTCATCGTAAGAAGGTTAGAAAGCGTGAATTTGGTCGCTAACTACGAAGCTAGGATTCCCCCTCTCCTTCGGGGTCTTCCAAAACTATTACAGTCGACTCCCTCAATTTGCTTCGAATCCTTACATCTCTATCATCGGTACCTCAGCGTCTGGTCTATCGTACATTGGCGCTCCCGTCATGATTCCTTTGATCAAGCGATACCCAAGATATCGCAAACACATGATCTACACCGGCTGTATGCCCTTACATTCATACACCCCCTCCAAACCCTTCTTAGCTTCCCCGCTAACCTCCTCCTTCTACCTCAGGGCCACTAACCCTCCTCTCACTCCTTGCATCCTCCTACGCTTCCACCCTTCCTCTCCTGATCCTAACCCAAGGATTATTCTATGGTCTCGGCTTCACCCTCTTCTACTATCCAATTCTTAGCATGGTAAATGATTTCTGGATCCAGCGCCGTGGTTTCGCGTATGGCATTCTATGCTCCGCGTCTGGGCTCTCAGGTTGCATAATCCCTTTCGCCATGGAGGCCGCGCTGAATAGATGGGGGTATCGCGTTACACTACGAACGGCTGCTGGCGGGTTGGCGGTGGTGACGGGGCCGTTGTTGTTGTTCTTAAGGGGGAGAATCGAAAGTGAACGGACGTTGAGTTCGACTCAGTCTAGAACAGATTGGGGGTTCTTGAAAGCGCGACAGTTTTGGATCTATTCGCTTTCAAATCTTGCGCAAGGTGTAGGATACTTCTTTCCAGGGTTATACCTGCCTTCATATGCGAACTCTATTGGACTGTCATCGCGCCAGGGGGCGCTGCTGCTGGCTATCATGGGTACTGCCCAAGTTGCTGGGCAGATGAGTTTTGGGTACCTCTCGGATAAGAAGGTGTCGCTCAACTTACTTATTACTGTTTCGACAGTAATGTCGAGTATTGCTGTACTGGCGTGCTGGGGTATGGCAAGGCAGTACGCGGTTCTAATTGTCTTTGCGATTGTGTATGGGTTTTTTGGGGCAGGTTATACGGCTATGTGGGCGAGGATGGGAACAGCGGTGACCAATGACCCTACCGCTGCTTTTGCGGCGTTTGGGCTCCTCAATCTAGGAAAAGGGGTCGGAAATGTGGTTGCGGGGCCTGTTGGGGGTTCTCTACTCGAAAGCGCCGTGGACAGTACCAAGTTCGGGGTCGGTAAGTTTGAGGGGGTAGTATTGTTTGCCGGAGGTTGTATGGTCGTCAGTGGGTTGACGCTGGGGTTTGGATACATGAAGAAAATACGACACGTGTGTAAGACATTGATGGAGATTTGGAGCAAGAGCCAGGATCTCTAACTGAAGAGCGCTATTGCGCTGCGAACATGGCCATGCACTCGTCGGGACGCATGTGGGTGCTTTATAAGAAAGGAGTCAGTTCAACCGCGTTTGGTCGCGATGACATCTTGAAGACATATAGGGGTAAGGGACTAAGGGTCGACGCCTTATCGCTTGCAAGTAGCGGGTCAGTTCGAGCTAGTCTACCGTATCGCGTGGAGGAGGGGATGAGAAAAAGGGAAGAGCAGATACGCGAAGAAGGTAACTTCTACAAGCCGTTACAGAGTATGTTCGAAACTAGTGAAGGCAGTAAGTAATTAGGTGGCATTATTTATACAACATGGTATGCAAGAAAATTAATGTTCGAGTGTAACATCTACTCTCCAAGAGAGACAGATGTGTTCAAAATCGGTTGCTTACGCCACCGTCGATCAGACATAGACTCATTCAGATCCGCCTCATCAGCACTCCTCTTCTTCTCTGAGGAAGGTGGCGTAATCGCAGAAAGCTCTCTCCGATTCTTCGATACGAAGTGCGCGATATCCTTCAGCGTCGGTCTGCCCTCTTTCCTACATCCCAGCCACTTGATGTTGACTAACGGTAGTCCTTGTTTCGAGAACAAGGCCGGCAGGTCCTTCGTTAAGGATTGGATCTGCAACTCATCAATGGTCTCATTCTTCAGCGCAAACCCCAGATGCAGAAAGCGTGCATGGGGCGATATGCTAGATTTCTGCGCCTTGCGCTGATTCTTTGGCTTGAGCTTTCTCAACTCAATGTGTCGACTACTCCCTGGGATGCGCCGCCATAGTCTCGGGGGTGAGTCAAAGCGTTCCTTTGCCATGCGCTCGACAAGCTCGTGGGTGTCAAAGTAGCTGCCATAGCCACCAGAGCTCTCCACAGCTAACTCCTTCAGATGTTTGATGAGGCAGCGAGTGAAAGAGTTCTCGCCGGGCTCAGGGGTGGGCACACCGATACCCGAAGCGGCTATCATCTCGAATGTTCGACCGTGCTCGGGTACATTGCGGAGAAGGTCGCTAGCGTAGCAGCAGTCCATGATGGTGAGGACGTTGGCCTTTACTTTCTCGATCAGGGTCCTCTCGGCTTCGTTCCAGATTGCTCGAAGGTCGTTTTCCACATCATCAGTCCTGGTATTGCTGTTAGCTAAGGTTCTTGAATTTTGCGCTGGGATATGTACGGTGAGAACTCAAGGACCTTGAGAGCCATATTATAGACACCATGACCGGCATAGTATACTACGAGTAGGTTGTTGGGATCATCGTGCTCGTACACCCAGCGATATATTTCAAGCTCAAGCTGGACTTGCGGGTTCTTCTCTTCTAGTTGTAACTCAGTCACTTCGTAATTGAAGATTTTCTTGAAGACGTTCGTCAGGTCGTCGACCTAGTGGATGTTGAGTTACTATTATAATGCCAAGATGATCACACGGAAGGATGTTTCCATACCTCTTGCCGCACGTCCAGCTGGTCTATCGCGTCTTGCCATTTAATTACCAAAACCTGTACATTGCGGTATCCATCTGGCAGATCCAGATGCTTTGCGATCGACTTGTCCCAGCATTGTTGAAGTTTCGCTTCATGATGATCATCGTGAGGATAGCGAATTTCTCCAGGGTTGAGACTCAACGGCGATGGAAGGGAGCTAGTGTTGTTCACCGACGATGTAGGTGACAGCGGGTTGCAGCGATGAAGCGGCGTCATGATGCGAGAACAATTGGAAGTGCGAGTGGTGATCGGGGTTCGCTCTTGTTGACGACCGTCCTACAAGTTCGCGCATCTAGCCTTGTCACGCACTTTTGGGGGCCGCGAACCTGAGGCTGTGCTTGGTCACGGCCCCATCATGCCTGTCAGCCACTCAAGATATTGATTAGCCAGCATGCAGGTAATACTAGCCACACGATCACACGGGAGGTCCTCCAAGCTCTAAAGGGCTAAGCTTTCTCGGAATCCGCCTCGTAGAACGCCTAGTCTCTTGAGATTATTGGTGGGGTCAGGGTAGGTGAACGATCAGTAACGATAGGCAAACTGCTGCCTGTGAGGAAAGCAATAGTAGCTCACCGGCACGCTGCACCTCGCCCACCACTCGCGACAGTGAGGGGCCTCCAGCTGAAGATGGAGAGGGCGATAAAAGCCTTGACTCAGCCTAACATGAAAGGCTGACAACCAGGCCCATTGCCGACCCTTCTTACTTGCAGTCATGACCGACGAACGACGAGAAACGACGCCAGAGGAGCAGATCGATGCCCAACAGCAGGTATGGCCCTATCTACCAGTATGTTGTGTGTTGCGCACTGACTAGGGGTAGATGGAAAAGGTCGCCAGAGAACGTGGAGGGGTAGAGAAAGGGTTGGGGGCTGAAGTAAGCGCTATGCACGCCCCTGTCAAGTGAATCTAAACGCTGATTGGTCGCAGACCGTCGCAAAATACGTTCCCGGGAACAAGATTCAAATTACGGAGGTCATCGCCATGAAGCAAAAGAAGAAGAAGCTTTATGTCGCGTTCAGCCGTAAGACCTTAAACAAGAAGATAGAGTACCAACTGACTGAGACGGCTGGCGATACTACGAAACTCTACATGAACGGGAAATGGTTTCCTCAGGATCAAGTCTATGTGGTCTGAGACACCTGAGCCAATCAGTATAACGAGGCTTGACCGGTGAAGAACCTCATCGATATTTAGTCCCCAGCTGAGAATGTCAATCGTTTTCGTCTATTAGAAACTTCTCTTTTGTCTTCCATCGTCTGGTGATATCTTCGTGTTCCAGCCTCTTACATCATGACTTCTCCCCCAGCATCACCGAATGAGAAGGAGTTCTCCAGCCCCTGTACACGGTACTCCAATGCGTCTTCATCATCTACTCTTCGTTCAAACACAACTCTAAAGTCGCTGCGACACGTAGCAAACAGCTTCGGGCTGTTGCTACCGAGAAAGAAGCCAGCCGATGTAGAACAGCAGGCTGACTCTACCGTTGGCGAAGACGAAGACGATGAAGAAGGTGATGGGCCTATCTTCCCACCCGGTGGGTCAGGGCCGTATCCAACCAAAGTGCGAACACTCGAAAAATGTCCGAATGGCTACGCACGACTCGCAGCCTTCAATGCAAGTGAACAAAACTTCATGCTTTACCGCGGCTTCAGCAACGTTCACGCACGCCTCCTCTTGAGCCTTCAAGCCAGTATCCAGAAGCTCGAAGCCGAGCTAGACGACATTGACCGCTTCCATAACACCCTTCCCAAGACCTACAAGAAGCGCTTGCGATCCTGGGATCTCGACGTCGCAGCCTGCAGGCAAGAGAAAGAGGAAGCGAAGGAAGACGGAGACGAAGACGAGGTCCGGACGCGAGAAGATATCCTAGAGGAATTGAGAATCAAAGTGAACCGATACGACGAGCTCCTGATCAAAGCTAGAGAGCTCATCTCTTTCCAAAGGCCGACCGAACGTGATTACCGAAGCGTGAGAAACTGGATCCACAACATCGCGCCCCTCGTAGACGAGGAGCAAGATTATATACTGTGGAAAGAGGATATCGTAACGCTCAGACATGGGAGGGAGTGGGCAGGTTTTGACGGTATGGTCGAAGCGATGTTGCATAAGATAGATAGCCGGCCCATTCAAGTGAGTGATCCATGAATACCAGGTCTCCAGGCTTTACTTACAACCCGTAGTGGCTCTTCCGGACCGATGATCAGAGGCGTAAATCCACGGATAAGAGGAATTACTACTTTGCTCCTTCGAGGGTGTCGACGCTGGTCAATCTCTGCATTACTGTTGCGCTTTTCTTGCTGCTGGTAGCTCCGGTTTTGGCGATGTACCGTCTCTCGACTATCAAGACCACAGAATGCGTGTTTGCAGCTATTGGAGTTTTGATGGTCTTCACGTTGCTGTTTGCTGCAGCTATGTCGCTGCTCACGAAGGCGAAGAGGCATGAGTTATTTGCTGCAGCCGCAGCGTATTGTGCCGTCTTGGTGGTTTTTGTTGGGTCCACTAATTTCAGTTGACGTAGGAGAAGTCAGTCCTTGTGAGGAGGTTGACGTAATGGCTTTAGAGGATCACATGGTACGGTGCGAGGTTACAGCACAGCAACTGCGCTGCAGCCACATTACTACTATATGTTAGTGCTCTACAGGAATACGGTCAGCCTGTGACATCAAGTCGGATGGATCAATCTATCGTTTCTTTGGCGTACTTACAATATGGAAAACGATCATAGCTTCCTGATCGACATCATGATAACACTTCAAAATATGGAGGCTTTGCCCAATAGGCTGCTCATTCGTGAACAGTTCTGACCAAGAAGCATGTCTAATGCTTGGCTACATGACCTTTCCTCCGTTAGGGAAGGCAACAGCGCGTTGGTGCTTGTGTACTTTGTAGAACTTTCATTGGCCGAGACATAGCGGCGCTCCCACATAGAAATCTCGCGAGTCTCTCTTATCACGATTGTGGAAGTGACCCTTTTGGTTACCCAACATCTGGTGCAAGCCTTGTTGTCTACGCTCATGCAATAGGCATATACGGATGATAGTTCTCCGCCGGCGGAGAAGGCTATAGGAAGAGGCGCTAACGTGAGCCGATGATCGCAAAGAACCCATCGCTACGACATGGCCGAAGGTTCGCTGGATTAGAGGAGGGTATATCTAGAGGAACAACACAGGGGCGAGGAACAACGTAGGCGTGAAACAGCGGAGAACGCCGGGAAAGAAGCGGAGGCGGTATGTGACGAAGAACATCGTACGCGTAAGAAGGCGGTGTAAGTCTAGAAAAAGGCCGCAGAGAAGACGCGCCTGACCATTCTTCTCAAGTTCCTCAATGCATGCCACAGTCATCTCCACTCCGGCCCCCACTCTAGACCAAACCAACACTGTCGACACGAGGCAAACCCAGCAATGCGGATAACAAGCTTCTACCGGAAAGATTAGCCCTGTGAGATGACTCCCAAACATAGCAGCTAAGCGACCGAGGCGACCTCCTGTAGTTTGGTAGACTCGAGAACTATGCCAACACGCTTAGTCTAATCTTAGACCCTAAACATTACTACTAACGTAGAGTTAGAGTTACTGTCCAAGCATAACAGATAAGCTTACCTCCTAGAGTAAGCTACGGATGTCCCGGAAAGCCATCGCAAGCGAGACCTATCAAATTAACTTCCGTGCATTTAAGGTTTAGTAAAATTATTAGACCGAGATGTTCCGAAGAACAATGCGCAGCCTGTACCTGTATACTTCTCTTACTGCATGGTCCAAAACCAGCCTAGATTCACCATTCGCTCACAGCGGATTAGTGATTCTGCGTGTTGCTACTTTACTCGTATATGTTTTCATACTAGCGCAAAGCTGCTTTTGGTTCTTGGAATCTTGCTTCCGCTGCGTTTGCTACCCCTATCCCGACATCAGTTATTATAGGGTGTCTCCGCATCACAGCGGAAGAGAGGAAAGCAGCAATCACGATCGCCAGCGAGGTAAACAACACCGGCCTGCAGAGCAGTGAACAATTCATCCAAGGACTTCTCGGGATTTGGAAGCTAGCTGTCACAAGCCTTAAATCGCAGCAGGATCGGCGAGATTATGCAAGTGTATTATTAAACATAGTCCGCGTTGCCTGTTTCCATTCGCGCAAATACTTGTGCCGGTAGAACAAACTATTGAAATTACCAACAGTAAGATGTCAGCACGGGAACCGCTATTTCTCCGTATGATCCCGAACAAGGCGAAACGACAGGGACATGATGCTTTGCACAACTCAGAAGTCAGCTCTGTTCAGCGATGCTCTACCAAGGCCTCATTTCCTGCATGATCATGGCATCGAAGTAAAGTTTGGCCATCCTGAGCCATCTTGGCGACGATATAAAATCAGCTCTCCGGCCATGCTGGAATACCAAACCATCATTCACAATCACAAATACCTCGGTCCACCAACAAACAACATGAATCTTCTGGTTCTTTTTGCTATGTTCGCTTCTATCGCTTACGCACAAGACGGGGCATGTATTCTCACAGATCAGACTCTGTAAGGTCCATGTACTGACGGATATCAATAGTTGTGTTTCATACCTGACGAAGGCGGACCCGGAGAATGTGTTCCATTCAGGCCAGTAGCTAATCGACGTTGCCGGGTATGTCTTATCCATCTTGCGAAGGAGAAAAAGAATGTTGACACTAAGGTTCGGCGACAGGACGCGCCATGTACGGGGCAACAAAATGATTGCTGGGTTACTGGTCTCAACTCAGCAAGGTGTTCATAAGCTTGAGAACTAGATAGCTAAAGTTGCGACGACTTCTTGCCAGGTTCAAGCGAGCTGAGAAGATGAGCTGAGACGATTTTGAAGTTGGTGCGATCCTAGGTGGAAATAAAAGGAAGCTTCTGGTGTTAAGGGAAGAGTTGTTTCCGTAGCGATTGCCATGTATTCAAGGTGCGAGAGGCCTTTCGACTCCAGCGTGCACAGATATCATACAGGTTCAGTAGGCTGATCAGGCTCGACACCGCTCACCTAGCATCAGTCAAAACTACCCAAGTTATACGGGATAAGGCTCATCAATGTACAAACCCCTGTTGTGAGGAATAGTGCCGTGGTTGAAAGTCCAAGATGTCCCATTCTCGTCGTATGAGCGAACAAAACTCTGGTACTCCTGCATAGAGATGTCGATCGTGTGCTGTAACGAGTTTGAACGTATTATGTGTACGTCGACGACTTCCGCCCGGTTCTTGATACGTCGAGCGATGAGGCGGTTTGGTAGTGACTATCGTTGCTCACAGCCCAGCATGACAAGTTTCAGTGGCTGAATCGCGAAATAAAAGCAATGTGATAGCTCGGAGCAAAAGCAACATCGTAGTGTCGGAGAACTATAGCAATAGCTAAGTTTATCCCCACACACTAATGCGCAACCAGCCGAATATCAGCACAACCCTAACATCATAGCACACGTTTTTCCTCTTCGCTCACTACGTTGTGCTGATCACGCAGATGGGCGTCAATAGGTTTGATTCAGCCGTGAAAGCCTAACGCGATACACTCTTGGGCGATGACCGGATCAGAACACGAGCCTTCGTTGGAAGGTAGGGTGTTGATGCGGCGAAGGTGTAGGGTTAGGGCAAATGATCAACGAACGATCTGACTCCGCCCCACTACCAGCTAGCGCTCATGGCTGTGCTCCCGCAGCATCAGCCGCACTGTAGGCTATGCAACCAGCTGTACCCCACTTCTACCTCAGCCCATCTAACTCTTGCCTCACTGAACGTTTATTTAGCGGAGCAGGATAGCCGTCCCTGAAAGTGTTGTGGTTGCAGATACAATTTTTCACTATAGTTTAGTCTCTGATAACCGTCGAATATCCTCGTAATAGCGACCTTCGTACACTGCCAACCATGGAATGTCTTCAAAAGCTGGCCAGAGATGAATTTCTACCCCAGACATCCAGAAAGTTCGATGACCGAGGCCTTGATCAGGAAATCAGTTTCATCGAAGCAGTTTTCCAAGATACTGTGGCCACTTTAACTGATCGGAGAGTTATCAAGACGGAGGAAATACCCACTCAAATGGCGCCGAGGAATAACTCTAACACTCCACCGAGCCTACGACTTGTCGAAATTCGAATCACATTCCCTTTCCCTTTTTACACAGCACAGGAGACCTTCCTGGAGCTCTTTGGTTCCATCAACATCGACCCGTATGTCCTCCATCTGATTCGTCTGAATTCATTTGGTTTCTATCAGTTTCCGAAACCATCAGCTTCGAAGAACGTTTCAGAGATCTTCAGTTACTATCTTAGCACGTTGTACTACAATTTAGCATAGTCTTTCGATCCGAAGACAAGGGAAGCAAGGGCTATTCTCATGAGTAAGGGAGGTCAACCCCCACGAGAATTGACCTGGCTTACCGACGAATTCTCCGATTTTGAACGTCTCCTTGAAGGTTTCCTACCAGTATTCGAAGTTTGCAGATGTCCGTCTGCATTTCTCAGTCTTGCCGTAGCTACTCAATTAGTGCATTGGCTCGATGGATACATCTTGTCACAACTGGAAGAGATCCGTGATGCAGAGGCGGCCACAGGCCATGGCGATATGGTGTCTATTGGCAAAATGCTCAATGCGAAGGAAATTACTCGTTGTTCGAAGGCGATGGCTCAGAGTCTCACCGTTCTAGCGAATATTCAACGCCATCTCGAAGTAGCTAAAGCTGCTCTTGTTCATGCATCGAAGACAAGTCCCTCGCAGCAAGGAGTGAGAGACACACTGTCTGTGCTGGAAACACAACTTCTCTGGAACGAATCGACCTCCGAGTACCTTTTGCAGAGAGCAAGGAATCAGATTACAGTTGTAAGTAATGCGTTTTCTTTATCATACTCCAATGCTAAGACGAACAGCTCCAAAGTTTACTTTCGCATGAGGACGCTTCGGAAAGCAAACAGCTCGCTATTCAAAGTGGACGTTTGGCTGAGCAAAGTAACGAATTGACCATCGAAAGCAAACGTCTGGCTATGCAAAGCAACGAATCATCCCTTGCAAGCTTACATCTGGCCACTAAGACAATGGAAGATAGTTCCGCTATGAAGACGATTGCCGTTATGACGATGTTGTTCCTTCCCGGGACGTTCATCGCTGCCCTATTCGCCATGCCCTTGTTCCAGTGGACCGAATCGAAGGTCATTCAGAAGAGCTTTTGGATATATTGGGCTTTCACGATTCCTGCAACTGCTCTAGTCTTTATTGTTTGGAACGTGTTGACAAGCTGGCCGAAATTTTGTGATTGGTGCCGAAAGCTTATGTGCATGTCTAAGGTTTCGTCCCCCTCAGGTGTGAGCTAGAGCCTAATTACTGAATTCTCAATGATATTCCGAGCACGTACGCAAGCACACGGTACTTGATGACTCAAAAGAAGTAAGGTCTTGTGGGAATTAGCGAAAAGAGCTATGATATAAATAGAACAAGTAGAAAAGCCGAAAGGCACGAACAAGCATTCCACGACCTAGACACAACGCATTTTCCTCAACTCGTTCTGGTTGCCACACCGTTCCTATTTCATTTCATTCCTTCCGATATGCTTTTTAATTTTGATATGCGACTGAGCAGGTCACGCCACATGAGCAATGCTCTGCTGTTTAGTAATTGTGAGAATACACGCTATAACCTGCAGGCTGATAAGTCCGCATATTGTTAAGAGAGACCATTTGCTCCCTTCCTAGCTTTTATCTAACATGCGCTTCCAAGAGAGTATGCAGTTCTTATGTAGCATACATCGAACAGCGAAGGGATTCACGATGAAGACGCTGCTCATCCTACTGGAAAAGCGCTAGAGGGAAGGCAAGATTAGAGGACTCACTCCTTCGGTGACATGGAATACAGGGCATATCACAACCAGTCGGCTACAGTACACTCCCAACCATAGCGTGCAAACTGCGACTCAGCCTCATCACAGTGTAACTTACCGCCTTGACACAACGGCTTTGGATCGCTATGCTTGTCAGACCGTGCATTATCAAGTCAGGACACCACTGGTCAAGACCTTGCGAAAGATGAAGAGCCTTCTTTTCTTATCATTCATTGGCTTGTGAGGTGCAACCATTCCATGTACTCAGCCTGGTCTTGGCCTGCAGATTCGCCTGCAGGAATCCATAATTTATCAACAAGGCTGAAACAGCAAGAGCATTTGATAGCGAGTTGCATCCCCGTTGTTGTGATCCTTTGCACCGAACAAGCCTTTGACATCGTCACAACGCATCGCGCGCAATCAGAGACATTTTCGAGGGACTTCTTGCTCTCTTGGCTCGCGCGCGCAAACGAGAGTCACTGGAGCGACAAGGCTGGAGAATATCAGCATTGCGATCCTAGGACTTTGTTTCCGCCACATTTCTTTGTTGGACTTCATCTCTATACTGTTGGAGGCTTGGCTTTGGGTCCCCAACGCGCCCGTCACATTCCTGTAGTATTATCGTGGTGATCATTACCTTCTGACGTGGAAGTCGATTGGCTATCAACCTTCCATCTTTCGTCAAGGAGAGATTCCTTTCGTTACTTGTAACCATATCATGGCTGAGCTGTCTGGGTATCGTATTTTCCGGTCAAAAGGCTCGGAACTGCGCGTTATGTAGTAACTTTGATCATTGAGTTCCACAATCAACGGATCCTCGTGGGCACCTCAAATGTAAGGTAGTGCTTCTTATCTTGCCATGTCTGCGACGTCTACAGAGTGAGTGAATGGAAGGGCAGAAATCATCGGCTCGCATACCAACGGTGTATACCTTTTCTCCGCAAACGATTTGAGGACACAGATTTCATCTGGAAGCAGCTCTGTAGAGATCAGCTTCGCAGCTTCAGCGTTGAGCTTCTGGAACGGTGACTGGATGGAAGCGATGGCTGTTGTCGCTCCGCGGTAAATGGCGTCAAATGTGTTTCCTCAACCGACCCAAGCGACGAGCCCTCTTGTGAAGGACCAGTGCGGTGTGTTTCATCCTGTCATATGGTGATTCATCAAGTACGATGACCGCGCAGGTAGGTATGATTGGAGCATCCCTTGGGGTGGCGGATCGTGTCCAGAATCGGCACCAATGACTGCTCCGTATAACCTTTGTATCAATGTTCACTCCTGAATATTCGGATATTACTTAGGCATTAGGTGCGGATTGGTACTAAGACACAAATTTATGGACACACATCGGGCCGAATGTGGCCCTTCTCCATCCACCAAGATATGGATATAGCACGAGTTAATGTTCATCTGTTAGCCGATATAGGTCTCTGATTGGTATCGATTCTGGGCATGATATGGCATACTAAGGGGTATCTACAGTACTATCTTACATTGGCTTTGATCCCTCAGGCAGATACTCCGCTGACGTAAAGGTTTCGTGTTGCCGCACTAAGACTACGGCGCCCTAGCGTCTTATCGATCAAAAACATTCAGCCGCGCACTATTCCAATTCTGAGTTTGGAGGTATGCGCTGCAGCCTTGCGATCCCTCTCCAACCTTGGCCATGTGTCCGGTCAGCCAACTCAACTCATTCAAATGATCCACAGGATTGTGAGGTGAACGGACAAGACAGTCTACAAAGGCTGCAGGGTGAGCGGCGCGTCTCAACATCCTATCAACATAGTCTCCCTACTTGTATCACAACCCCTTCACAGTTCTCTAGCAATGGCGCTTGGTCGAAGCGTGTCGAATATTGCAAAGCGGTACTATCATCGCTTACTACACACTCTGCAAGGTAGCCGCGCAACGCCCACACATTCTCGGATTGACATGAATCCTCTGTTCTGCTACACGAACGGACGATGGCTATGGAATGAACGTGAGCAACTGGAGGCCCGATACCGACGTTTTGACGTGTCTAGTCTTAAGCAAGCGGCTTGCCAAGCCGTCGGTGCACACGAGTGTGTATCTCTCGATAAGATCGGTGAAGGCAACTACAACAAGGCTTATCGCCTTGAGATGGACGATGGCCAAAGGATCATCGCAAAAATTCCACACCCTAACGCTGGCCCACCAAAGCTTACTACGGCATCGGAAGTGGCAACTATGGAGTTTGCCCGGACGATTTTGAACATACCTGTCCCACGAGTTCTCGCTTGGAGTGCTACCGACCAAAATCCTGTCCAAGCAGAATATATTATCATGGAAGAAGCGAGTGGCTCCCAACTCCACGAGGTTTGGCAGGATCTTCCACTACGGAAGAAGGTTGACATTATTCATGAGTTCATAGATATTGAGAGGAAACTACTTTCAATCTCCTCCAACAAGTAAGATCCAACTTGCGCCAACACAGAATTCGCGGTCACTTCAACTTACAAACACTATCAGATTAGGGTCATTATATTTCAAAGATAGTGGTATCGCAGGATGCGAGCCGGCTATCGTTACAAATGGTCCGCAAGATGTCGACAGTCACGTGGAATTCACTTATTGCATTGGACCCATCACTCGAAGAGAATTCTGGGCGAAGCAACGCAGTGATATGCAATACCATGGTCCATGTAAGTCTCCCAACGTCTTTAAACCTCAAATTCAGATTTGCAACAGTTGTAGGGACATCTTCTGCAGAATACCTAAAGTCTATCGCTCGCCGTGAGATCGAATGGATCAATGCCTATGCGGACCCACAGGAACCGAGCAAAACTCCATGGCAGTACACGAGCCCACAACAGATGTCTCCGGAGGCTCATACAGCCCTGTTGGAAAAGTTTCTAGCCACAGTTCCATATATTACTCCTAAGGATCCAGAGCTTGCCTCTCCTAGACTTTGGCACCCAGACTTCCACGCTGGTAACGTATACGTCGACGACCAAGCCCGGATATCATGCATCATTGACTGGCAGGGAGCCTGGGCTGGCCCGATGTTTATCAGTGCCAATCCCCCATTGCTTCTAGACTATGGGATTGATACGTTGATGAAGCTCCCTGAGAAGTTCAAAACACTCGACGATGCTACGAAGGATAAGCTCAGATACCAGGTGTCACAGTCTATCTTGATTCACACGTACGAAGAAACCACAGCGGAGAAGAACCCTCTAATGTATAAGGTTATGCGACACCCCCACGGTCAGACCCTCAAGCAATTGGAAGCTTTTGCTGGCTCTACCTGGGACAACTGTCTCTTTCCTTTTGAAGAATGTTTAATTCGCGCTGAAAGGTGTGTTGATCTATTTACCATTATGTTCCCATGCTGACCATTGTTGCAGGGAGTGGGGTCATTTTGATACGAACGAACCATGTCCGTACCATTTCTCATCGGAGGAGATACGGCAACACGACGAAGAGGTAGACTCTTTCAATAAGAGCCAAGAATTGTGGAAAGAGTTACAAGGTGTCTTGACTGATGAAGGTTATACGTCGAAGGAAAGTTATAGTAAGGCTGTCAATATACTCAGATATTTGCGGGAAATGGGGCTGGGCAACCTCAAGGGCGAGGGACGACGCGACTTCGACAAAGAGACGCGATGGGTCGCAGATCTCGATGAACACACAACCTAGCACTTGGATTATATACTCAAGAATAATCACAGACACGAACCGCATGGAAGGCGACGGTAAGACAATCAACGACTAGCTATGTGGATCAAAACCTGGGAGAAGACGACTATATTCCTTCTTTCGCCTGAGCTATTGTACCATGGCTTTGATGATGCAGCTCTTAGCTGTCTAGTTGCCGCCACTGACGTCGACCTGAGTATCGTGATTGCTGTTGAATTTCCACGGACCTTGGTACTAATCTTAACGATGACGTGGGTGCCAGTCTTGGTGCCACAACTGACGACTATATTGCCTGAACCCTGGAAATTGCGACCAGTGTGAGGAAGACATGAGCATCTACCGTGGTGTGCGGCATGGAGAGCTGCTTCCGTAGTATCTCTCTATTGCTGATCTGCCACGGTTCTGGCATCAGAGCGTGATAAGAAGGAAGAGTTTGGACCAGCTGGCGTACTTGGTGGTGAGCTACGGCTACTGGCTGCGAAAGAAGTGAGGTCTGTACCAGTATCAAAGGGATCAGAGTCTAGGGTCGGTCATGCCGTACCTTGCTCTCTGAGAGGAATAGGTCAGTTACTGACCCCATCGCTTCCTACAAGTGATATGTGACACATCTTGCCTTTGTTACTAGTACCCTACGCAATGCCCACGGAGCGTTGCTTGGTGTTTCAAGGTTCTATTCAGCAGCCGCTGATGTAGGAGTTGTAGGCCGTCGATAATAATCAGCCTGTGGCTACCCACCGTACCGGCCATTGTATGCTTGATAAAGTGCTGCAACCAGGCTAAACCAATCTCAATTCTTGTTGAACCGTTGTCGCCAACGCCAATTGGCCAGTCTTTTGGTATGTCGTGGTACCAGGTGCTATCGTGGTTCTTGGCTTTGAAGATGAAGAAGGGCGGGACAGCCCAGCTCTTCGTGTTGACTACTGCAATCAACGTAACCCACTCGCAGTTGTTAGGTTGAACGCCTATAGTCCGGCTGCATCTTTCCGAAGCAGTAACAGTCTTTACCCTTCCTGCGACATCTATAGTGGAGCCAGTCTCGTCAAAGTTGTAGGTATCTTCATCTAGGATGCGGTACTTTCTCTTTTTGTTCTTTCCAAGGTCAAAACAAGGCTAATGACCACTGAATCGCTGCACAGGGATCTCGGGCAATTGTGCGTCGATCCAGTCGAGCTTTGAGCTCAGGCTTGCAACGAACGAGGTTGCTGGCCCATTTCTCGTCCACCTGGCCATCACCGTGTATAGCAAACGATTAGTGAGTCACTCCGCGCGTATATTCTAGCGTAGGCGTAAACCCTCGTGTATTTAGCTTTCTTACGTATCGAAATAGTGTGGTTTCTTTACATTTCGTAAGCCTTGACAATTTGGCATGGGAATCGCATCGTGATGTCGTTCAGGCGCGTCGGTCATGGAGGGTGCTTCGACGAACGTTGTAGATTGCTGTAACGTGTTGCCCACTGAAAAAGCGCCTTCATTTATTGCTTGAATAGCTAGGATAAATCTATCTTTATAACAGGGTAATTCTCTGTTGTGCTGTCGAGACATTGCAGCTGAACGCAGAGAGTGGCGCAACCTCTGTGGGATGATCGGCTCGCTTGCCGTTCACGGTGCATGGTTTTGTTCTGGGAGAGAGCTGCCGGTCGGTCGAATGAGGCATGAACCACAGGGACTCCTCGACGCGGAGTCTCGGCAAGTCATCGCAAACTCCTGAGGTAAGGATCCTTTGACCCTTCTGGAAGGTAGCTCGCGATCGTTGTGTCTTAATTGGCTGTAGTCATGCAACAACTTCTGTACGAAACGATTTTTCAGCTATTTTCCCCTGTAGGAGTTCCTGATCAGCCTGTCGACCATCTGTTCACGGTATTAATTGGCAATCAAGATAACATGTCCAACTAGGTTACGGCGATCGATACTTCACGGGGCTACCTGGGTAGCGAAGGATTCTGGCCGTTACATGGGGCGAAGGATTCGCTCCATGCTATGCCGCGTCCCACGGCAGTGCATTGAACAATGAGGCCACTTTATCGCACCAGGAGGGTCTAACGTTCGTCCCATGTTCTGCAAACCTTTGCAACACCAATCGTCAACATCATGGGATTGTGGGACGTGGAAGACTATGGCACCATCTCCCATAGGGCTTACTGGTCTATGTTCGCAGTCACAGCTTGCGAGTAGCCCTCTTATGTTGCGCTGAATGGCAGCTAATTGTTTTGTAGCCTTCGTAGCGTTGAGAGTCGGCACTCGTATATCCAACAAAGGCGGCGGCCTTGGTATGGACGACTATATCACCGTATTCTGCGTCGTTGCGATGCTTGTCACATGTATTCTGATCACAATCGGCACCCAGTACGGTCTTGGACGAAGAATGGAGGCCATCAATTTCATATTGATACCGCGAGCTCTCAAGTGGAATGCAATCATCAGTTCAGTACTGATCTGGGCGTTTTCGCTACCCAAGTTCGCCATCATCGCTATTCTCAAGAGTATTCTGGACTACGGACTCAAGACGACGATATTATCCTGGGGCCTCGCGCTCAGCTCCCAGGCCTGTATACTCGCTACCTCGATCTGGTGGTACAAGCAATGTGATCTGGTTGAATTCGGCTGGAACAGAACCATACCGGGCGGAAAATGTGCCAGTACCAAGGTCATGTCAGATTTGGGCTATTTCACTTCGGCCTACTCTGCCTTCCTAGATGTATTCTTCGCCCTGTACCCGATTCCGTTCATTATGAGTCTCAACATGCTGCTCAAGAACCGCATCCTGGTCTCGATCGCGCTGGGCCTCAGAATCCTGGCCTTCATTCTCACCATCTACAAACTCACAATCTTTGGGGAAATCTTTGTAGTACTGGCCGAGAACCCGACTTGTGAGTCGTTCACTCCACACGTTTCTCAACACAGAACTAACTTTGTTAGACCCGGTTCCGCTTCTCGATATACTCGGTCTAGGAGAGGGTTGCATTCTCGTGGTATGCTCCTCTTTGCCCACGCTGGGCCCGCTCTTCCGCTTGGTCAGAGGAAAAGTACAGACTCTCAGTGGCAGTAAGACCGCCAGCCAGAGACGACGCAGCAGTGCCACCCACCGAGGGCTATCTAGCACCAGCGGAAGATAGGATAAACTTCAAGGGCATCGATTGGGTGACAAGGAGAGGACATTGAGCCACGCAGGTAGAAGCATCGATGACATCCCACTTGTTTACCACGGCGCGGATCAGATCCACAAGACACTTGAGTTTAAGGTGACCACGAACGCAAAGGGTGACCGACGGGCGAAGCCAATTGACGATCGTGACACTTAGCTTGGTGTCAATGTGGGGGGCAGTACTTCCTCTAGACATCTACACGCGCGACAAGGCAGCAGCATCGTGGTGATGATATGATTAGGCAAGCTTTGGTGTTGTTGAAACATTGTTGAGATAATGTTATCAAAGTGAAGAACTGTGAAAGAATGCGACTTGAGCAGAAACCCAGAGCAGCATTGAGTTTCATGTTCCTACAAGAAGTCTCACGTTCCCTCAGTGAAAACCTTGTTTCAAGTCCTCAATACGGACTTTTCAGCAGCACCAAGGTTCAACTGCTACAATAGTTACCGACCGGTAGGTCCTGTCAAGGTCGCTCGCACGAGTCTGAGTGGCTGTATGCCAAGCACGACATGCCGAGAGTGGCGTGAGAAGTACGCGGGGGGCCGAACAGGTGGGTCTGCCCCTGAGATACCCTTGCTCACTCAAATTTCGGATACCGTGTCCTCAACTGATCAGTGCTCACCAATTCAAACCGCATGGCATTAAATCGTGCGGTCTATTCAATGTAATCCAAGACTGATCACTGTATCGAGTAGCCGCGTGACTAGATGATACCCAAAAAGTTTGGCCATTCCAATTACATAGGGTCGCTGAGGACGAACTACGTATTAGGAAAAGTACATGTAAGTAAAATGGACTTTAGTATGCGCTTATCTGTTACAAGAAATCTACTAACTACTATAGTATTGGAAACCCTCTAGTCAACCGGTAGACATGGTCAGAATCCTGTGGTAGATAAGAACATTTCCCTTTGTCAAATAGTAGACCGCGTGTCGTTTCCGTTGTTCCTGCATCTTTCCCCAAAATTCAATCCCCATTTCCAACATGGCATCAGCAGACCAACTTATCGGAGCCCTGGAGGGCCTCGACGCGAAGTCCTTCGTTAACGAAGCAGAGCGCGTCCGTGCCATGGACGCGCTGACGCTAGCCTTGAGCAAAGTACAAAAGCCGTGGGACATTGTTTGGCAGCACTGTTGGGTCAATCCGGCCACCAATGCATGCGTCAAGACGTTGATTGACGCGGGTGTCTTCAGCAAATGGATCGAGACAGGAGGCGACGAGAAGACTTGCGCGGAGCTGGCTGAGTCAACGGGTGCCGACGTAGTGCTTGTTCGTAGGTTACATTTTTGCTTCGCTTGACTCATGATGGGCATTCTGACGGCAATGCAGGACGTATGATTCGGCAAATCTCTGGGCAGAATCTTGCCATCGAGACCGCCGTGGACACCTATGAGCCTACACCGTGGATACGCGCTCTCGCTGAGGATCAGGCCCTCGCCAATGTCTATGGTGAATTCTATGGCTTCGTCAATTCCCCTATGTTCAGGACTTTGCCTGCCTACCTCAAGAAGACGGGATACAAGGTCCCTACTAACCCCAACGACTGCAACTGGCAGTTCATGAGAGGCTCAAATGAAAATCTGTTCCAGTCCCTTGGCGCGAACCCTGCCGCCGCACGGGAATTCAATGATGCCATGGAGAGCCACTCCAAGCATAACCTGACGCCCTGGGTTGATGTGTACCCAACTGAGACTCTTGTTAAAGAGTCTAAGCCTGACCGGCCCCTAGTCGTCGATGTTGGTGGTAGCAAGGGCCACGACCTGATCAAGTTCCATCTGCGCCACCCTAATATCCCTGAGGGCAGTCTGGTGCTCCAGGACCTGCCTGATATTCTCAAGGAGTTGAATATTGACGACACCATCTCCATCCACCCTCATGACTTTTTTGAACCACAGCCCGTGAAAGGTGCCCGTGTCTACTTCATGCACAACGTGCTGCACGACTGGGAAGACACACAGGCGAAGCAGATCCTTTCTCACCTTGCTGAAGCTATGGAACCCGGATATTCAAAGCTTCTCATCCACGAAAGTTTGGTCAGCTCTGTGAAGCCACTCGCTCGTGTGACAACGTCCGATATCACCATGATGGCGTGCCTTAGTGCGAAGGAGAGGACGGAGGCTGAGTGGCGGGGGCTGGTGGAAAGCGCGGGATTAAAGGTGCTTAACATCTGGAGGCCATCTCACTCTGTGGAAAGTGTTATCGAGGCAGAGCTAGCTTGAATCGCTACTAAGACGGCTGCTACGCCTGCCTTTGCCTTAAGGCGGAATACAACCTCCTTGGATCTATGACGGACATCATGCAACGTCCACTGCCTACCAAGCCGCTATATCCTAATGAAGATTTGCCGCCCCTATTGTCAAACAACCACACATGTCATCGTATGCATGTTTATCAGGATGATCAGCATAACTTCGCGACTTCATCTATCACTTAACACTTTGTCTCAACGTGTCTGTCGTTGGAGTTGGAAGCATTGGGTATCTGGACACAAAACCTTGGCGATGTGTGACGCTTGATCTTCTCCGCATCTCCCATGTAGGCCGCAGCCGATCTTCGCTCTTTCACACATGACAAGGACATGGTGGAGACCAAGAAGTGTATATGCGATTGACCGGCGGCGAGAAGACTACAGGGCAACGCAGTCTTTAAGCTAAGCATCGCATTTCCCTTCTAAGTGGAGCCCGCGCACAGCAAGTCTACGACCGCTCCCAGATGACACGTCGAACATCTCCAGTGTTGACGACGACAAGTACGAGACCAGCGAGCGAGGCCCACAAGATAGCATGTATTCCTCGCACGTAGAACATCGCGAGCACCACGGTCACTCAGCACAAATACATTCCATACTGTCCGGCAAAGACTGCAGTCTGACAGACATTACCGCCGCGCACTCCAGACTAGAAATCTTTCGCTGGCGACATTCAGCGTGTGGCTACGTGGCCCACAGTGTACTGCCCAAGCTGCATCCACGGTACCATTCCCTCTGGAAAAATGCAATGCAGAGGGCGCGTGAAAGAAAAAGAAGCTGGCTTTACGAATGCCTTGCCGCTGGAATTTATACCGTCCATAGATTGAACATCGATTTGCAGCGCGTCGCACAGTACCAACATTGGTGAGGACATTATCACTGCGTGTACGCATGCACTACCACAAGATCGAAGACAGGTGGATCGAGAACATCCACGTGCGGGCGTGCGCAGGGCAGAATAAATAACGGAGGCTGATCAACGAACCAAGTAGACACTGGGGCGCTTCAAAGTGTTGTTAAACTCGTTGGTTGGTTTGTATAGAAGAGACGGGGGCATTTGGCTACAACCTCCATCAATTGAGGACGGACCCTTGAAACAGTGGTATCAATGAGGGCGCAGGAGTCGGTGTCGCCTTCTCCTGTGGATGTCATCGTAGACATCCGTGTACCGACTCGGACGGGTACACAGGCTGCCTCATGCTTTCTACAACGACCCTCAAGATGTATGCTGGAAAGTCAGTCATGGATGGCATGAGGCGCTTCTTGTTGTTACTGCTAAGAATCGCTTGATCCGAATCGGATTAAGGCCATCCTCTCGGGTAGGCAAAGAAGGCGTATTAGGCCAAGAGGGCGTACCAGGTCGACAGAAGCAGAAGGAAGAGATGCTAATTCAGCTAGAGATCAGATCTTAATGAAGACTAATACTATAAGGTTGGTAATCATTTCGTAATGGTAACTACTGTCTAACACATATTTACGCCTTTGAAACGCGGGGGTGCACGGGGTCCGTCCGCCCTGATGATCCTAGAGCAGCTTTTGGAGGTTGTCGGAGACCGGGGATTCGATTGATTACTGTGTCAGAGGTTGGATAGGGCTTACTTGGCGTAGCAGCTCGCGTAGTTGTTGCTCCCTTTGTATTTTCTAAAAGCAGGGACCGGTCTGGTTCACGACTGTGCCTTGTTCCCACAGCATGACGTCCAATCGATTTCTTGGCTCCTCAATTGGCAAGCCGCTATCATGCAAGGTCCACACTGTGCGACAAGCTTACTTGCAGAGGGCGAGTGTCGATTTTCCCCATAAAACAACACGATATAGGTATTTACTTAGAAAAACGAACAACTCGCATAGATCAGATTTCCAGCGTCAGCAGGCTCGCTGACTATATCGCTGGATAAAAGGATCGTTAAGAGCTAGGGTTAAAAAACTAATGGAATTTAACGTCATCAGGTATCATCAAGACCGAAGCCATGAGCTCGCGAAGGCTCCCGATCCTTCAGCTGGACGTATAAAGATACCCTTCCCCGTCGTGAACACTGCTTGTCCTACTAAGGACAGTAACAACTGCATTCCTCAGTCTACTATCCTGTTCTTACTTAGCTACCACGCTCAACGGGTTCTATCTGTTCCATATCTCGAGACCGAAGACAAGACCAGTCAACATGCAAATAATCAATCTTGCTGTCTTGGCTGCCACCTTAGCCACCGTCGGGGCACTTCCCTGGTTTCAGGACGCCAATGGAGTGTGGGTTGCCAACAACGCATGGTGGGACGACCTTAATGGCGGTGGGTTGCTACTTCGAGGAAGCTTTGGTTGGTTACATCACTGACACGGTTACAGTCCACAAGGTCCACGAGGCCTGCGCCGCACAAGACGGGTCTAGCAACCACGGTGATGGAGCGTTGTGCGCTTACGCGACTGATGCCAATGGTGGCATTTTCAACGGATGTAAGTGCTCTGGATCTGGATGGCTCAAAACGAGGAAGCCTCTCTGACGAGATGCCGTGTTCAGTCTGTTATCTGGAAGATGACAAGCTCGATTGTATCCAGGGATGCCCTGATCCCTTTGATAGTTGTCAATACGCAGGTGATGGAGGGATTTGCGAGTTCGGCTATGCTGCGTGCCTGCAGAAATTTGGCTGCAGCGGTCAATCCGGGCAGGCTGACTGTATCGGATTAGCAACAGGTAAGTTTTCTCGTATGATCTCAGCCTTGAAAGAGAGTGGCTTCTTCACATCCATTGAGCTGTAGCTGATATAAGGATGTTAGGATGCTCTATATGTGCTTAACACTGCCGTACGTCAAAGCCCGCTCCATGATGCAGGGATCTTAAGTTTTACGGTTTCCTTCAACTTCGCCTTTTGTTCTGCTTTCTGTCTTGCGTTCCCATAAAAGACCTTCCGCTGGTTACTGTAGACAGCAAGGGAGTTCATTCGCCCTTCGTCTTCACTGATCACATGTCTCAGCGACTCTGAGCTGATGCTACCAATTGGGGGATACGTCTAGTTGCAAGTTGTTTTCCAGAGTCAATTTTAACTATTCACGCTCATTCCAATACACTTATTCGATATCTATAACAGATATATCCAAAGACTGCAAGATTACTCACAAACTGACTAAAGTCGCTCATCTTCGCTATCGATTCGCCTTTCTAGAATTTACCTATATATGCATCATGACCTACATGGTGTGGTTGTGCATTTACACTTTTAGATTTTCACTACTGTCTCTTTGTCGAGTTGAGTTACCGAGGTTATCCGCACAACGATTGTCGCAAAGGCTCTTGTGTGGCGCTAAAGCCTTTTGGAGACTAATTGGTAGAGAGTGAGGTGCGGATGAAGAATAAAACGAAAGTAGTGTTAGACTCGAGTGAAGAATAGAAGTAGGAAGTTAGTTGCTTGGACCCACGTGTTCGCGCGTCGGTGCATCGTCATCGGCACGCTTGCCTTGTTTAACCGAGGTGATCATCAACACAAGCTATCGTCACCCCTGCTCAGCCCACAGTCCCTTGCTCCGATTCTTGCTATCAGAGAGGTGTGATGCTGTGGAGGAAGGTTGCGATGTTCACCGTACCACGTTTGCACAGCGTCGCAGGGTCCACGGCGACGCGGATCTCGCGGCTGACGTCAGAAGCCCAAAGAGCGAGCGCGTTTGCGACCCAGCGTTTTCCTTCAACACGGCAACATTCGGTGTTGACGGAACCATCTCCGTCAAGACCATCACTCTGGGAGAGGACGACCGATAGTTTTCAGACCCTGAAACGCGACTCAAGATGCATTAGCGTAGCAGCTCCACGCGAACCAACAGCAGGAAGTGAGCCTGGCATCGATATCACAAACGAGGATGCATGGCCTCAATGGCGTCAGAAAGTGCAATCACAGATTACAGCTGTCGACTTCTCTGCCAACAGGATCGTGAAATACGAGCTCAACAATGAGATGCTTCAAGAGTTCCTTGAGAAGCCCCGAGAAGACTGGGTGACTTGTCGATGGATCAACGGTAAGGAGCCGGCGATGTGGTTTCGTCAAAGCAGCAGGCTGATCTGACTCGACCTACAGTCAACGGACTTAGCTGGGATGTGGTTCGCCTTCTAGGCAAGAAGCAAAAGCTACACAGCCTAGCTATTGAAGACCTGCTACACACAAGGAATCGAACCAAGGCAGACTGGTACCCTGAGCATGTCTTTGGTATGTTTCTCAAGTCTGCGGAGGCTTGAGAGTGTATATTGACTGGTAGACAGTTCTTTTGACTCTGCAGCGGCTGCTCCGCAAAAACGAAGGAGTTACAGACGGGCAATCACAAGCACCTCCAAGACACGTCAGCACGAACAGCCCAGCTTACCGAGAAAAGCACGTACCTGCGGAGTACCTACAAGCTGTGAAGACATTGCAGGCGTATCGTACCGATGCAGACCCTGAACGGACACGCTACATGGAGGAGCACTCTACGCTGAACCCCAAAGGCCTCATGGTCTCTGTGGAACAGGTGTCGATGTTTTTGCAGAGTAATAACACGTTGGTATCGTTCTTTGAGCACTCTGCCGACGTAATTGAAGAGCCTATCTTGAAGCGACTGTCATCACCAGAGACGGTTCTGAGGCAAAGCGGCGATGCCAGTATGGTTATGCATGCAATTATCGATGGAATTGTTGACCTTGCCATTCCGATTGCTGCAGCATATGAGGACAGCATAGCCGAGCTGGAGCTGGACGTCCTGACAGACCCCAGTATTGCACACTCAAAGGCTCTGTGAGTCTTTCCAAGCGTTGCGATGATGACAGACCACTCACACTCCCAGGTACATCCTCACATCCGAGCTCTCACTCCTTCGATCCCAAATCGCTCCGATCACCAGTCTCGTTAACGCCCTCCGCCAACATAACTCGAACGCTCTGATGCAGACGACCAACTCTTCTCAAGGACCCTCATCGTCTCACATCGCCAACTCTCCACCTCCGTACACGCCCAAGGATCCGTCGACAGCCTCCATCACTATCACAACACTCGCACACACTTACTTTGGCGACGTAGAGGACCACTGTATCACCGTCACAGAGTCTCTTGAGCGCATGCGGCGCTCTGCAGACCGCATGATTAACCTAATCTTCAACACGATGGGAGCATACCAGAACGAAAGCATGAAGCAGTTGACCTTTGTCACAATCCTGTTCTTGCCAATGACTTTCTTGGTAGGCTATTTCGGCATGAACTTCGAAGACATGCCGTGTCTGAAGAACAGCGATGCATACTTCTGGTGGCTCTGTATACCAGTGACGGGCACTATGGTCTTGGTTCTGATGTGAGTCTGCCCGTACACATCGTTGGGCGTAAGGTGCAGTAAGCTAACTTTGTGCAGGCGGCAACGAGTCTGGCGTGGATTGACGCGGTTCTGGCGGCGGAGAGATGCTGCGAAGTCGCGCAGGGCTAGATACTTGAAGGAACAGAAGTGGTAAAACGCTCAGAGGATGGCAACCCCAGTATGCATGGGCAGCGACTGGCGATGCATTCAACTTCGGTAACTTTCCATAACTTCCAGGAGGTCGCACCTTTTGCAGTTATACCAAGATCGCTAAAGAGATGGAGTTGATATCTTAACAGGCGCGAGCGACTTCAAGTGACATTCTACTTGGCTGAGGCCAGACAATATGAGAGTAGAATGGACAACAGAAGGACTACTCAGATAGCAAAGCTTCAAAATTGAGGTCAGCTCCGAATCATCGGTAATGTGACGACAAGGTAATAATCTTTTTTGACTCTGGCATACTACCGAGTAGACCTTGTTTACTACCATGTGACAAGGATCTTGGTTAACATTGAGAGGTCGTGAAATGATCTGTGTTTGAAGGGAATCCTTTCCTGGACCGCGGGTTTTCTTCCAGGCAGGGGGGATGTTATGGTTTAAAAGGTCTCGTCGTCGTAGTCAAGCAATACATCCCATACGATCTTGAACCTTCCAAAAAATTCTAAAAAGTCAAGCTCACGCACCCAAGACTTCCAATCCAAGTCTTTCAGAAACTCGAGCTCGACGTATTGGATATAGTCGAATGGCATACCCAGAAGAGATTCTAGTGTTTCAGGCCACATTGTGCCGTCGCACAGGTTGCCATACGCAATTTTGACAGCGACACCAAATCTGGCCGTCTCGATGTGCGTAGGGAGTTTATTTGTACAACTGTTCAGGATTCTGACCTTGAGGAAGAGGAACAAGGCGTAGGGAATGACGTCCTTACTTATCGCGTAGATTTCACTGCTGGTTTCCAGCCAGCGTGTGATGCGTGCGCAGGTGGCTTGCATAGACACGCTGGGTTGGATTAGTGGATCCATAGGGCTGAACTTGGCCAGGAGTATTCTGAGCTTGGTTTCCGTCGTGGCGGACATGATGTCGTGTAGGAGATTGGGGGGAGCACCACTGATGAAGCTTGCTAATTTGGTCAACTCGTCTCCTAGAAAGTATTGGGTGATATCCGCGGTGGGCACTCTGCCTGGGCTTGAGCGCGGAGTATATTCGAGTGCGGAAGCCATACCTGCCATGTCATACATCTTCTGTCATGGTATTACCAGTAGGTGAGAGTAGACTTTAGTACTTGGGATGCACTAGGTAGACAGTCGTTCGCTGCACTGTGAGTGAATGAGACCCCGCTGTGCCCTCACAGAAGGCCCCAGGCAGTCTTCTACTCTAGGAACTCACATCGCATTCTAGCCGCCATTAGAGCTGGTTATCATTGTCATCAACCCCTATGGTCAGGTTGTGTTCGTGGAATCATCGCCTAGGATGACTTTGTTCCTTCACAGATGAGGGTCTATTCTGCTTTGGGTTAGATCTCCCGGCGCTCCGCAGCTTCCCGAGGTCTCTCCCCGCGTGTGCGTCTGCGCGTCCTCCATGCACCCAATGGCTGTCCCACTGCCACCTGCCTCGAACCTCCACGCCATCCTCCTCGTCACCAAATCGCGGTCGCTCGGCCCTCGCCTCGTCTTCCACTATCCGCCGCTATCGCCGTCAGCAGCCGCTCTCGCCGCGGCCAAAGACCCAGCCTGGTTCCGTCACGACACGTCCACGGCCAGCGTTGATTCGCGAAGCTCAGATAGCGATTGGGACAGCAGCACCGACTCGGACGATGAAAACGACATCGAGATAGGCAGTCGCACTAGTGGCGGCCGTCGATCGGGAAGAACCTTGACTGGTCGCGTGAGCGACAAGGACAAGCTAGGATCAGGGCTATGGGGCAGGCAGGAGACGATTGATGAGGAGGATGCAGATGATGACGATAACAAAGAAGCTACTGGACGTCGGGGCAAGGGCGGAGACCACGACTGGGAGACAGTGCTCGGCTTCAAGACGGATGCGCTGGAGAAGATGCTGAGCCCCAGCAAGGAGTACAACAAGAAGCGGTTCGAGCTGGGCGTTGAGAGCATCGTCTTTCTGGGCGCGCCCATGTTCGTTAGGGAAGACGGGCTCTGGAAGAAGGCGAAACGGAAAAGGAAGAAGCGATCGGACAAGCAAAGACTTGAAGATGGCGATCTGATGAAGAATCTCACAAGTGCCAGCGATGACGACGACGCCGACTCCCCCGAAGCGCCTGCGAAACCCGTTCCGGAGCCGTTCAGAATGCCGGAGGGATTCGAGCCAGGCTACGGCCATGGTTCCATGTCCAGCGGGCCCTCAGGCGCTCCCTCAGAGGCTGGATCCGACGCGCGGAGTAACTCGACGAGTCACGACAACAACAACAACCCCGACATGACCATGTTCAACGTTGTCTTCGTGCTGAATCCGCCTGCACTCGAGTACCAGCAGCGTGTCAAGGAGATGTACGATAACGTTACGCGCAAGTATGCAAAGGCACTGAAGTACGAGGAGGCGCGGTTTCAGTACGTTTGGAAAGAATCCAAGCGCATCATTGACATCAAGCAGCGGGCCAAGGAGACCAACGAGTCTCTGACGGCGACGTGGAAGAAGATTGTCAGCATATCACCGCTTGCCAAGTCCATCGCCATCATGTTCGATGCTATCTCGCACGACAAGATAGCTCACATCCATTTCGACGCGACGTTCAATACATCCTTCCAGATTCCACAAGCCGATTCCACGCCATACCTCCCCACCACCATCGAACCTCAGATGCCAGGCCTATGGCTTACGACCTCGAACGTTATTTTAGACGATGACGATGCACCCATGACGCAGCATGCCGCTCTGTTACTCCTGGAGGATGCCGAGGTGTTGATCAAGGACCTGGGCGGCGATGCTGGTGGGAATGCGGCGGCTATCGCCTTCTACATCCGCAACATCGTACCCACCAAGTCGCTACTGAAGATTTCGAAGAAGCACAACATATCAGCGCATGATATGGAGTACATAGCGAGTCATCTTGTCTATTGGCGGCGCGCGCGTCTTATCGCTCCTTTGTCACCACGCGACACGTACATTGTCAGTCCGAATGCCGATATGACTGTTCTCCCGGCCGCGATAACAGTCTACGCACAGCGTTTTCCCACGTTGCCTACGCTGCCCAAGGTACTGAGCATGCTTTCCGGTACGCCCCGACCGTACAGAACCTTTATACCCACCGCCGAGCATCGCGATGCCTACATGGAGATTTTAGCATGGCTTATGCGCGGAGGCTGGGTCACACAATTGCGCACATTTGCCTGGGTACGGATAACGCCTGAGATCAAAGCGCAAGTGGCAGCCGAAATTGAGCGGGAAGAGCGCATCAAGAAAGCCGAAGAGGCGCGCAGAGAGTTGATGAGCGACAACGATTCAGTAGCCGACAGTCTGCTCTCCGACAAACGAAGCAGTTTGCTTTCTCTGAACTCTGTCAGGACCTCATCACCTTTGCGACGCACGCGGAGAGATGCGGATGAAGACATGGATAGCAGCACCATACTGAGCCCGCGTCTCGGGTCGACAGCCATGTCACGGAACTCTTCTGCCCGCACCGGGTCTGACGCCGGCAGTACGAGTAGTCAGCGCACAACGATCGCGCTCAACCCATCCCAACGAGCAGAGTCACCAACTTATCTCGGGCTACGAGACGCAAAGCCCCATCGTCCATCGCCGCTACATCTCAAGCCCGCCTCGCCATCGCCATCGCCATCCCACAACTCGATCGTCTCACCGACATCCCCCATCGAGAAGCTCACACTACCGGACCCCGCTTTGTTCACCCACACCACCATCCTTTCCCCACAAAAAGCATCATCTATTGAGGCCAGGTGGCTTGATAAGATCGCCCAGACTTTCGAAGAGACTGCGATGATATCCGCGAATCCGAGCCCACCGAAACACGCAGATGGTGGCTTTGGAGGTATAACTGGCAAGGAACTGCGAGAGAGCTGGCCAATGTTGCTGAGGCATTTGGACGGTAAGCATGCGATTGAAGATGTGTCGGCTAGAGAGGGCATTAAGCGGAAGAGAGTTGCTGTGCTCTTCAATGCGGTCAAGGAGAGAGGGTGGCTGGTCATCGGGCGGCACTGGTGAGTGGTGTGAATGATGTAGTGGAGGTTTTTGATTCGATACCCGTGCGTAGTAGCTTTGTTCCATAGTTCTTTCGGCCACTTTTAACTTTACATTGGTACAGCTTTACAACGCTTTCGAAGTCTTGCGAATCATGATTCTTCAGGGGCCATGCGACCATATCCTTTGGCGAAGCGCAACCACGGTCTGCGAGGTGCGGCAACCAAGGTCACTATAATAGAAATTTCAATCATTGTCTGGAAATTTTGGATAAATGTATATATAACATGTTCTTCCCATTCAACATTTTTCGTCTTCTGCATTAGACCCCACTACGCAAGTGTTCTTCTCTGAGCCAAGAAGAGGAATATATCATCTGTCTACACCAATATCCAGCCATCCACCACACAAAAGGACCTTCAACTCCAATCATTACAACAATGCGCAACGTCCTCGTCACCATTTTGGCCACGGCCTCCACGGGCCTTGCCTGGTATGATCACCCCAGCATGGTCACCGAGGCACAAACGACCGATGCTACATTCCTTCTTCCCTCCTCCACTTCAACCTCCCCAACTTCGACGGGAAGCGCAACCGCCAGCGCGCACCGTCTCGTCACCAGGGTCACCAGAGCGCCCTCCGTGGAACCCACCACTCTGGCTACTATTGCGCGTTCCAACAAGGAGGAACGCGACGATACACGCGTCTACAACAACGGATGGCGAACGTGGATATCAGAGTACGATGGCCGCATGATTACCGTGAAGCCCTGTGTCAAGGCTACAAGGTAAGTGAATATCCTTGTGTCATCACCCTCGAGAGCGGAACAGAAATGCTGATGCAGAATGCGCCTGTTCTATCTAGCCTGACTAATTACCACGGCACACACCCACTTACCCTTCTCGAAGGCAATAGATGTCGTGGCTGCAACCGCGTTCTCGATCCGAATGATGACGGAAGGTACAATGGGAGGTTTAGGGGCGGTCATGATGGTTGGCGCTCGCATAATGAGAATCTTAATGATCCTCAGCTTGGGAATAAGTGCACGTGAGCAGCAACATGGGGAGGTACATGGGGGGTATGGAGGGCTTGAACTGGCTGGAGTGGTATTAGGTTATCTAGAGTTGCAATCTTTCTGGTGCACAGATTGTTATTACAGGGGAGCGGTGTGCAAAGGGGGGAGGTACATGGCGGCTGGATAACTTAGGATAGAGAAATTGATGCAAGTGCATTTTCAGATATTATTCATTCGCTGTATGGAGCTACTGTGATTACCAGAAAACTGTCTTCTCGAGATACAGATGATTATATTGTTGGCTTCGTTTATTTCTGGTGATTTTTGTTAGTCACGTGGGTGGTATCTCAAAAGGGTTGTGGTACCGAGAGAACCACTTTGATTTCACGGGTTCTTGAACATCATTAAAAAAAATGGCTTCAAACCATCAAGCTACCCTAACGGTAATTGCTGCGCTCCAAGTTGATGGCGAAATAGCCCTCACACCACAACACCCTTCACAACGGATCTCGGATTGTGGCCTGGTGAAGGTGGCTTTCCCAGTGGCAGCCAAAGCGAGTCTTGTTTGACCAGCCTGATCCCGAGTTGTTGAACGACCAGTATAGATCCCTCACGTTATGACGGTTCTGATCTCACGATTTGCCGCTGCTCCATTGGTTGCGCATCCAAGCTTGACCTTCACCCATGGATACATCCCTCTGTACCACGAAAACCTTGAACTGCAAACTTCGAGAAGGGAAGAAGAGAACATATATTGAGTCGTCCGATTTCTCATCTAACTCTTTCCATCCACCTCCACAAACCGTCTTTCCAAGAACTCTTTTCGTCTTCCCAAGATACCAATACTACACCATGAAGTTCACGCTCGTCATCACCGCTCTCGTCTTTTTCGCAACATCGACCACTGCAACCAGAGAATGGTCATACAACGACCACCGCAGATCTGTAGTCCAAGCAAGCCTAGAGCAAGGTAATCACCCTGCTGCCCATACTCTTCTCCTTCCATCTCCCTCCACCTCTCTCTTATTCAAGGTCAGTCATGCCTAACATCCCCAGCCAAAGCCAAGCATGCCGACCTCTGCAAGCGCTGGGATGGCCCCCGCTGCCTCGACGACGAAGACAAGCCCTCGCCCTGGGAGATGAACTACCTCGAACGCAAGACAGCCAAGATCGAGAAGCACGAGGCTGAAGATGCGGTCGAGAAGATCCATGCACTCTGGAACAAGTGGAATGCGGAGCAGGTGGACATGTTGAGCAAGGTGAAGAAGGGAGGGAAGACGTATATGGCGCTGTTCGAGGAGGTATCTAGTCTCGCGGATGTCGATGCGGCTACGGGTGTTGATGCTCGGTGCCGGGGCTCGTGCTAGTGACTAGATAGCGTCACGTGGTAAAGCTTGTTGAGATCAAGATAGTGGGCAAGTAGGACGAGTAAGAAGCTGAATTTGTACACCATCAGACCTTCTCACTTCTCGCGCGTCCAAGGATGGCGGATGGCACCGAGCACCTTTACAACCCGTTGTGATAGCCATAGTACAATGGATGCAAATCACATACTTACACGCCCTTGAAAATGCATTTCACTGCTACATGAAGTCGCGACTACATTCTCGTTTCACAGCGCTGTGCAAATGTGCTATTGATATTAACCCGCCTCTCCCTAGGAGCTAATTCCCTGAGTTAGTGATATGATCGACTGACAATCTCAACCACCACCGCAACAGCGTCCTGGCTGATATGACCACATCGACGTTTTCTCACAACGCCCTTCCACCCCTCAGCCCACATCAGCCGTACACCGCGCTCTTTCTTGCTCGTCTCAGTCTATTCATATTGTACGCACCACTCCCCATTGTGAAGTCTACGCTCGACACAGCTACGCGTAGCGACAAACTCTTACAGATTGACCAGAACAATGAGGCTTTTCAGCCCTAAGATTTCACAAGTGCCATGTGTCAACGTATGTTGCGCCTCTTGAACGAGTTGGTCATCATGTTTCCTGGTACCACTCATCCCAGCCCAGACACCATCCCTCTTGCGCTATGTTTGCTTTTCCGATATCGTGTAACTCTTGCTTCTACATCCCCATGTGAAGCCACAGCAAAGTATGACGTACTGTGTGCAAGCGAGCGCGTCTCAGCTCCCGTCCCATGCTACGTCTCCACCCCAGTTTCAGCCACACAGCTTAGTGACGCCACGCTCATTGCTCTTTCTGTGCACATCGCATACAAGTTCCTTGCTAGCGACAAGAAATGGTTGAACCTGCAGCATTGGGTGCGACTACTCGAGGCCAATCAGCGGAGCACATTAGAAGCCGAGAAACGTTTCCTGAGAACGATTGACTAAGCCGTTTGGGTTCTACAAGAAGAGTTCGTGCATCTGAGAGGTACATTTGAACGTTTGTGGAGGGAGGTATTTAGCAAGGCTGCTAGGCCTGCACTACCAGATTTTGTACTAAAGAGAATACGGAGCTTGACGTAAACTTGACCTCGCCCGAATATACATGAGGTGGGGCGATAACATACTCTCCACACGTGAGCACGTGCTCAAGCGCGTCCGTCATCGATGAGAGCATGTCGCGTCGATTGACTTCCCCTCGAGCAAAAATGACCAAAGAACTGAATATGGACTACATCACGATATGCCTGCCTCCGTCAATGGCAGATCTTCCTTGCAAGAGTGGTTTTGCATTAGGCAACATCTTACCAGGGCCCATGGTCATTGCCACCTACTATCTGCCCCTCGCTTCTTGGCCTACACACATTCGTATCAACGCGCATGATGCATTCCATCGCAAAAAGCAATCCTTACACTTACGTCGATCCATCTCGAACGCGACTGATGACAACCCGATGACTGCGTTGTGTTTAGCCTCTTACGCATGTGGCATGCAACGTTCAGAGAGACGTATCCTCAGCGCGCATGCTGCTTCAGCATCCGTCATTGATCTTTCCCCGCACTCACGGCATTTCCCCTTGCTTTTCCACCACCTGCATAAGCGGATATGCAATGCACGATCGACCTATAGTGTTGCCGAATTATTGGTGTTCCTGGACCGACTAGTACAAAGGCGCGACGTTTGCAATTATATCATGACATCAAGACCCTGATTTAGTCTAGGGGTCTCCATCGCGATCTCCGAAATCCCCATGCTGCTGTTCATTCTGCATCATTACCTGCCTCGGAAGGCATGGGCTGACATGGCCTGGAAGGATCCACGAGATTTTTAGACTGGATTGCATCATGTTCCTGCGCCTTAGCGCGCGGGCCGTCCACGATGCATCTGAGATCTAACGTGTACGCGAGATGGACGCGTGAGATGTGCCACGACGCGTTGACATCTTATGATGTGCCCTGACGTCTTGATAAATATGTCAAGGCTAGCCATCGACGTATAAGTATCTCGTGTGAAAGCACTTTCTGTGGTCATCAAACATCAATCTACTCTCATCAACAACTACCTTTTCAACCAACCACTCCCCACTTCAATCAGACATACATCATCAACATGGCGGACCAGCAGTACAAGCCCACTGGTGAGCAATACAACTATCCGCCTGCTTCGCAAGAAACTGACTGGCAAACAGAGCACGGAGGCCTCAAGCAGGACGGCACCCCAGACAAGCGCGTTGGCACTGGCGGTATGTCTTCACGATCTCTCCAAGGCCGCAATCACGAATGCTAACATACGAGCCAGAGTTTGCCCAGGGCAAGGTCGACCCCCATGAGGCTGGAAAGCAGGGTGGTGCTACATCTGGCACTGGAAGCACCGACTCCTCCACTGGCTCTTCAGGATCCGGCGGCAGTGCCAAGGGCGAGTTTGCTCACGGCAAGGTTGACCCCGTCGAGGCTGGAAAGAAGGGTGGACAGACGTCTTAGATGCTCAAGCTTTTATACCCGAGATCAATCTTTAGGACATCTCTGTTGCGACATATAGTCATACTTCCAATGAATGAAGTTATCGCATACGCTGCAAGCTGAATTTGGCTGATAGCCGGCCCTGCTCAATCGACCCTGTAGTGCACAATGTGATCTCATAGCTTTGTCCAATAAACGATGACGTCAAAGCGAGTGCAGCGTATCGAGTGATGCCCTAACAACAGCTGTCCTCTTGCGAAGATTGGCCTGGTTTTGACTCTTCTCTGTAAGCAAGCTCTCCTCCACGCTTTCTTAAGGAAACTCCGCGTATCACCTTTTTGCGCAGCAATCTTCGTATGCGACAACTTAAGAATCTGGACAGTGAATGGAATCGACATCATCATGACTATTCAAATGAATGCGGTGTCGTGGTTGTAGTAGCGTAGGCTGTCGCTCGTGTACCCCACCATGCGCGTATAGCTAGCGTTCACCTAGCGATTAGTGTTACCAACGCTATTATCCGGCACATCCTCGGGCCAATCACCGTACCTTCCCATCGTATTCGAAATACGACGTATCCGCGAGCGCGGAGAGTGCCTTCCAGTCTCCCCGAGGAGGAGGTCAGATATGTATGGCAACGGTCATGGGGTTCAAAATACGACGTATCAACGATGTTTTTCTTGCGTGCAGCTTCGCTTACAGCTGTTCGAACAACTATAAGAATCTCAATATACAGGGCAGGGGCTGCTGTAGTGTTTAATGGTGGTAAAGAGCATTCTTGAATCTTCACGACACCGTTTCTGACCCTCATTATCTCACGCGACACCAGCAATATGCGTGTCGCCAAGATCGTAACACTACTTTCCACGTCGTTATCTATATGTTCTGTATGGGCTGTGGATGCGCCTGTTCGAGTCCCTCTTTGTAAGCTACGCGAATAGTCAAGCACAGGTGTTTCGAGGTTGGTGGTAGCTGATCAATCTCACTAGCTTGGACTGAAGCGACAGGAAAAGCCACCCGTTTTGTTTCCCAGCTCAACACTACAGAGAAGATTGGCCTCGTCACTGGTAATTATGGCTCCTCTCCAGGCCCACCCTGTGTAGGCTCGCTCGTGGCAATCGAGCGACTCAACTACAATGGCCTGTGCATGTCCGATGGCCCCGCTGGTTTGTCGCGTTCGGATGGCGTCAGTGTGTTTGCTTCCGGTATCACGGTCGCGGCTACATGGGATAGGCGGCTGATGTACGAACGCGGACTTGCCATTGGACAAGAATTTAGAGCCAAAGGTACGCATGTTCATCTTGGGTAAGCAAACCTCCATGCATCATATACATGCGATGCTTACTTGTATGTCACAGTCCGGCTGCTGGACCAATGGGTCGTCACGCTCAAAGTGGACGTAATTGGGAAGGCTTCGGACCAGACCCCTACCTTGCGGGTGTCGCAATGAACGAGTCCATATTCGGAATTCAGGGAGCTGGTGTGCAGACCTCCTCAAAGCACTACATCGGTAACGAACAGGAAACCCAGCGTACCCGTACTACCCGGGAAGATGGAATCGTAATAGAGGCGGTATCTGCCAACATCGACGACCGGACACTTCATGAGTTATACATCTGGCCGTTCGCCAATGCTGTCCATGCAGGGACGACGTCCGTCATGTGTGGTTACAATCGTGTCAACGACAGTTACGCTTGCGCCAATCCAGAAATACTAAACAACATTCTCAAAGACGAACTCGCCTTTCCAGGATACATTGTTTCCGACTGGGAGGCTACGCATTCAACGGTTGAAACGGTAAATGCAGGACTAGATATGGAAATGCCTGGAACCACGAGTCCGACCGGAATCTTCTACTTTGGCGACTCGCTCGCTGCTGCGATGGAAGCAGGCAACATCTCATCCGCTCGCCTTGACGATATGGCTACAAGAGTCATGACGCCATACTTTCGGCTGGGTCAAGACGAGGACTTCCCTGTCACTGATCCTGCCAGCGGACCTGTCTTCCTCACTTACACCTATGGTCACCAATCGCCCTTGGCCGCATCCTTCCCCGAGGTCCCTGCTCGAGACGTTCGTGGCGATCACGCAAAAGGCATACGTGAGTTAGGTGCGGCTGGCACTGTGTTACTCAAGAACTTGAACAACACTTTACCATTGTCGAACGAAACAAGCTTTGGTCTCTTTGGTAACGATTTTCCCGATCCGACTATCGGTTCAGTCTTTCGCGACTACGGCAACGCTGCAACGGGCTACCCAATGGGAACTCTTGATATCGGCGGTGGATCTGGAACGGTACGACACACGAGCCTCGTCAGTCCACTTGAAGCCATTCGAAACAAAATTCGTTCTTTAGGTGGGCGCGTTCAATGGCTCTTCGACAACGACGAGATTGCGGACGGAAGGTTTCGTTCGATTTACCCGATACCGCAAGTCTGCTTAATCTTCCTCAAGGCTTTCGCAACAGAAGGTTCAGATCGGCCGGATCTGGACTTCCATTGGAATGCTACCCTTGCGGTGGAGAGTACAGCAAAGTTGTGTCCCAACACTGTCGTAGTCACACATGGCCCTGGTGTTGTGTTGATGCCTTGGGCTGACAACGAGAACGTAACGGCTATTCTAGCTGCACATTACCCAGGAGAGGAGACTGGAAACTCTATTACTGATGTCCTCTGGGGCGACGTAGAACCATCTGGTCGTCTTCCGTACTCTATTCCAAAGGCTGCAGCGGATTACGGTCCACCTATTGTGGAATTACCTCGCAATGTCACTGATCCAGATGCATGGCAGGCAGATTACGTCGAAGGCCAATTGATTGACTATCGTCGCTTCGACGCGAATGACGATTTGGAGCCGCACTACGAGTTCGGATTTGGACTCTCGTATACCAGTTTTGTAATGAGTCAGGAGATGAATGTCGAGCTTCGTGGTATGCCTTTGACGCCTGTTCCTGATGAGTCGAAGGGAATCGCACCGGGTGGACTCAGGGATCTGTGGACCGTGGTCGCTGTAGCTACGGTGAACATCACGAATAACGGTGGCCGGGCTGGCTCTGCTGTACCACAGCTATATCTGTCGCTTCCTCAGGATACAACTCCTGCAGGCACGCCCGTGAAAGTCTTGAGAGGTTTCGAGAAGGTGCATCTCCTGCCAGGTGAGACGCAGACGGTGACGTTCAGTTTGATGAGGCGAGATGTTAGTTTCTGGGATGTTGACAGTAAGACTTGGACTATTCCAGCTGGGTCGATTCGTTTCACGGCAGGATTCAGCGCAAAGGACTTGCAGGCGGTATGTGACGTTGTAGTTTTGGTCTAGATTCTACAATGGAAGGCATTGGTCTATGTCTAAAGGAAATCTAATCGTAAAACATCGGACTGAAGCGCTTTCAGAGCTAGTTCTTCGCCCAAACCAAGCCTCCAGCGTTCTTGCCAGTACCCTCTTCAACGTACCTGCAGGTAGTGAAGCTCTGCCATAGATCGACAAAGAAGTTGCTCTTTTGCTGGATGTAGCGTTCGCCGAGAAGAGGAGCAATAGCCCATGTGGCTTCCTCTGCGTGGTAGAAGGGAATGCGTGGGAACATGTGGTGGACGACGTGGTACTCAATGATACCGTGGAAGATGTGGCGACCAATGAAGCCAAAGTCGCGGTCAACAGTGGAAGCAGCGCCCTTGATGAAGGTCCAGTTCTCAGCCTCGTAGTGAGGTGCGTCCTCGTGTGTGTGGTGAAGGTAGGTAATAGCGACAATCCAGTGGTTCATCCAAAGGTAAGGGAGACCGTATGCCAAGAGAGCGGTCGATGTGCCGACGCTCCTCGAGGCAAGGTAGATGGCGCTCATGGTGAGAATAAGTCCAACGTTGCTCAGGGCGACGAATGGCGCCTCAGAAGGAGTGAATACGGGCGAAGTCGGGTCCAAATGGCTTTGCTTGTACTTTGACTGGGAAGCCCGGTCGCTCTTGGTCAGACTCTTCGGTCCGGCACCGGCGTTCATCAAGATGTAAGCAGGCCAGCCAAGCACTTGGTGGAAGATAAGAGCGCCGACTTGGATGAGTGGTGTGTCGGCAGCGGCGTGGTCCATGATCTTCTGCATGATGGATGGCTCGGTGGTCCTGGCCATGGCATCAGACTTTCGGTGAGGGACGAAAACAGTGTCCTTCTCCATGTGGTTGTGGTAGCGATGATGACGTGCGTGGCTGAACTTCCAGCTAAAGAACGGCACCATCAAAATGCTGTGGAGGAACCAGCCAGTCACAGCGTTGACGGTAAGGTTATCGGAAAACGAATCATGGCCACAGTCGTGGGCGAGAATCCAGAGGCCGGTAAAGAAGCATCCCTGTACAAAGCTGTAGAGCGCCCAAAGCGGGACCGTGATAAGGGGCGAGGCGTCAAGTTGCGAAAGCCGGACGGCAGAGTAGAAGAGTCCGCTTACGATGATAAGATCGCGAACAACGTAGGAAAAGGAGCGGACCATGGAGCGCTCGAAGCACTTTGCTGGAATAGCGTCCTTTAGGGTCTTGACGTCTGGAATCGGAGTTGGCTTGACATCGTCGGCCACAGCAGTGAACCTAGTCTTGACAGGCGCTGCCTGTGTGCGGGACGTTGTTGTAATCATGGTCCAAGGAGGTGAGAAGGGAGGGAGGAGCGTGCAGAGCGTGCCGTGTCGCTACTCATCCTTTTGTACCAAAACGCGTTCGGGTGGAAGGCGAAAAATCTGCTCCTTAATGTACACCAGCCTAAGCTCAAAGCACTCGACCTACGTTTCAACGTCGCAAAGAAAACCGTGTGTACAAGACACCGCCTCGCGTCCATGGAAACAGTGGGTCTCTAACCGAGATTTCAACGTCGGCGCACAGTCGGCACTAGCAGTCTAGGATGAACACGTTGCGGTGAGGCAAGGGGAAGAGGCAGGAATGCCGGAAAGAGACCATAAGCACAAGGAACAGCATGCAGCATCCATGATTACAGGCCATTGAGCTTATCGCAACGCTGCGGGAGGTGTTGCGAGACTTGGTTGGTATCGCACTCGCACTTTGATTGTTCCAAAGTTCCTTCAGGGTCCAAGAGATGAGCCGCACCGTAACCGCATCGGGAACAGATAACACGAAGCCCCGTGGGCCCTGACGATCTTGTATGGGGCTCAGCAAGTCCAAGGCGGCCCAGGCATTGGAGGAAGACCTATCGAGATCTGACCGCCCCCAGGACAGCCCGTTCAAAGTCGCGCCGCAAGGGGAAGGAGACGCAGCTGTTGGACGAAGCTGCGACACCGGGAGAGCACGCAGCACGACGTGGTCAGCGTCTCCAGTGGGGGCATCGATATTTGGCTGCATGTATGCCTCATGCGGAGATGGAATGCTTCGTTGTTACATGCCCAACTTGACTAAGGTGTCTTGTTCGGTGATATTCAAGCACTCGGGTTATTCAGGGTCTCAGGTCTGGTGTGTGGGCTGGGCTCTGCGCCCGTGGGCCATCGGCGGGGCAATCCCCCAGAACGTGCGCGCAAGCCTAACCTTGGTTACTCCTTGGCAAGATGGCGGTAAGGTTTCCCGCCCGCCGTTGAGAATTCTACCATAGTTACAAAATTCTGCCAGACTTTGGCGATTCTGTGATTCGTTGAGGGTATGGCTCGATAGACGTGGATATTGAGCTAGTAGGCAACATGGGTGACAAACAAATTAGATAGTGATTTTCTACGTCTACTCGAAGACGTCGGTAGCGAACCTCTCGTTTCGCAGCCCCTCAAACCACTCCCTAGCCTTGGCATCATCGGCGTCCCGGCCCTCCTTCTCCTTTAACCTCTCCTTCGCAATCTTGATAAGCGTCTCCTGCACCCCATCACCAACACCCCGCGATCCACAAACAAAGAGCTTTGCGCCCGCTTCAAACTGTTCAATGACATCGGCGCGGTCGTGATAGACACGATCTTGCACGTATTTGCAGCCATGCGACTCCTCCGATTTGCGTGAGAAGGCATAACGGACTGAGACCGCACCCATGTCTTCCCAGCGCTTGAGAAGATCGGCGTACATGAGGTCGCTGGACGGTGTCCGGCAACCATAGAAGAGTATGGCGGGTGCTAGCTTGCGACCGGCAGCGACCTGAGCAGCGCGCTCTTGGATGAAGCCGCGGAAGGGCGCCAGACCAGTTCCTGCTGCCATCATGATGACCGGGACGTTCTTTGAGTCCTTTGGCAGGTGGAAGGCTTGGTGTGAGGGGCGGACGCTGACGTGCAATCTGTCGCCTGCCGCAAGGTTGGCGAGGTAGTTTGTTGCCACACCCACGTACCGACCCTGGCCACTGAGGGCTGGCGCGCTGACAACAGAATATGTGAGGGTGACGTTATTGGGATTCCATAACGGCGACGAGGATATCGAGTATTGACGCACACGCATGGGTGGCTGCATCTTTAGGAAGACGCCGAGTGGCAGCTTCGTAGATGGGAAGCGCTCGAGGAGATCGAGAACGGAGACGCGTTTTGCAGTAATCTCGGCGCTGAAGGTCTCGTCGGCGAGTCGCTCGAGCTGCTTCTTCTCCGCTTCATCGGGTGTAGCTTCAGCCAGTGCAACGACGTTGCGCTTGCTGGCAGGTTGGGCGAGTTCTACGTAGGCACCCAAGACATCAACAGCGCTGAGGGGCGTATCCGTAGGGAGAGTAGTAGGCCCAGCCGAAGAGATAGTCAGCATCGAATCCCAAGTCAAGCCAAAGTATCGCATCGCGCGTTGGACGTTTTCTTTGGGGTTCAATGGTAGGATAGCCAGGTAGTCGCCCGCGGAGTAGGTCATGCCTGATGGAAGGCTGATCTCGATGTGCCTTTTCTCTGAAGCATCTTCGTTAGAGAGAACTTCAACTTCCTCTACACGAGCCTCGCGGACGTCTTGACGTAAAGTCGACGACCTCGGTGCCGTAACCTCGACGTCAAGCGTAGTCTCCAGCGAGCCTTCGCCATCGACCTCCGTTGATCCGTACTTCTCGCGCATGGCTGGCCACAGTACTTGGTCTTCCCAGGTCTCGAAGTCGGTGAAGATGTCTCCAGAGGCAGCATCAGTGCCGCCCCATTGAACCATCTTGGTTGCGCCACGCTCTTCGAGGGTAGCGTCAAGATATTTTGGTACCTTGTGGAAGGTCTTTGCCCAATCGCGGTGACCACATCCAAAGACCGCATAGTTGACGTTCTCCAGCTCCTTGCCCTTCAAGGTGCTAACCCAATTGACAAAGTGTGCGGCATTGTCGGCAGGCGCTCCCTCGTATGAGGCAGTGACAATGACAATCGGCTTGTCGGTCGGCAAGTTCTCGCGTACAGCGTCCAGGGTGTCAACGACTGCCGCGTTGAAGCCATGGTTTGCAGCGTCACTCGCAAGTCGGTTGGCGAGCGCTTCGCATGTTCCTGTGTTGGACCCGTAATAGATGGCCATAGGCTTGCCTTTAGCAAGCTTTTCCTTCTGTACACGTGGCGCCCCATTCACTGGTGGAGGCTCGTTGAGAGTAGCCGACGCCAATTTACGTTCGAGCGATGTGGCAGAGATGCCACTTCGGAGATGCGCTCGCATATAAAAGTCCTTAGGCTTAATCGTCAGTGTCTGCTTGATTTGAAGCTGGTACGACGCATCCTCCATAGTGAAGTTGAAGTTCTGTAGGAGAATGGCAAGCACCAAGAGGGCTTCTTGCCAGGCGAACGGCCTTCCAATGCAGGCTCGCATGCCGTTGCCGAATGGCTTCCAGCAGTTGGGAAACTCGGTGTTGCGCTTTTCAAACTCTGCGTCAAGCATTCGCTCGGGGCGGAACTCCTCGGCGTCCTCGCCATATGCGACTGGATCGCGGTGAACCATGGGAAATAGTGCAACGAGTGGCGTGCCTGCCTTGACCGCATACTTTCCACCGATCGTAGTGTCTTCCTTGGCCGTCATACCCACTGCGGGCGCCGTAGGCTGAAGACGGAGAGACTCGCGTAGTACAGCATTCAGATATGGAAGCTTTGTCAAGTGGTCGACAGTAATTGGACCTTTGCCAATAACATCATCTACTTCTTGCTGCGCCTTCTCATATGCTTGAGGGTTTTTCAGCAGGTAGTAGAAAGTGAAAGAAAGCAAGCCGGAAGTCGTCTCATGTCCAGCGATCAGGAATGTGATCATGTTGTCGATGACACTCTCATCCTGTTGATGTTAGCGTGTACTCGGTCCTAGTAATCGTTTGTAACCTACCGTCATCTTCTTGCCAGTCTTGGAATCAACACCGTTCAGCATGCCGTTGAGTAGATCTTTCTTGTCGGTCGGATTATCTCTTCTCGTCTTGATCACGTCCATACTGGTTTTGCGGAGCAGTTCAATATCTCTCCAATACTTCTGCGACTCGGCGCCATAAAACATTTGCGAGATGGGGTCCCTCCTCGCACGGTCTCCACTGGTCTTGAGGAAGTCTGCCATTGACTCAACGAATGGGTGCATCTTTTGCTGGTAATACGAGTTGAACCGGTAGTCCATGGCGCAGAGAGCGATGGTATCGAGAGTCAGGCGTGTGAAGTCGTCCGTAACGTGGATAACATGCTCAGGACCATGTCTTGCCCACTTCATCACAAGTTGAGACGCAATGTCGTGCATCTCGTTGAACATGTTGCGAATGGCCAGCGGCCCTAGTTGTGGAAGCAAGACACGGTGTGCAATACCCCAATTCTCCTCTTGTGGTCCGTACGATGTGAACAGGCCATCGTGAACACCATTCCGGACTTGTTCAAGTGATGCTGCTATGATCTTTGAGAACCGTTCCTCATCGCAGATCTCGTTAAGATAAGCTTGGTTCGCGATGACGACACGGTCGCCGCCGATATAGAATTTCCAGATAGGGCCTGCACTCGTTAGCTGTCTGCTTTTGCCATGCGTGTCGGGGGGTTGATTGACCATATTTCAATGTCAAATTGCACATGGACTGTGTGGGGTTTGTTGCGTCGATGTCTCCAATGTTGCCAACAATGGGCAGGCCAGGTGGGCCGGGTATGGGCTCAAGATTCGCCATTGTGATGTAAATTACAGCAGTAGAAAGGAACTAGGAACGAAAAAAGACGACGGTATATGAATGTTCGTGGATCGCTGAAGATGTATGTGTTGTTGGGATGTCGGGAGAGCTCGTTCTATCTATAATGAATCAGAATAATTAAGTCATGCCACGTCGTTCGCATAATGACGCACTGAAACAGAGCAAATCCTTTCGCGCGCCCCGAATGCTACCTCCTTGACGCGTTGGGACCACTTTTGGTGCTTTGAGAGAAAGATGCCTCGGTCGTTGTCGTGAAATTCAAGCACGGTGATTTGTTGTTGCCGTTTCGGGTAGTCGCCGTGTCGGAGCTTTTCACGTCGGTGCACGGAGGAACTATGAGGTCGGCCGAGCTTGAGGCTGGAAGCACATGCAAAGCCACTGAATACACGAGATGGAATTGGAAGCCGAGGACGAATGCGATCGCAAAAGTTGATGATGGTGCTTAAGAAGGTGCAGCGTGTCAGAAACAATGTTATGCAACGCATGCGTAGTGCGACTTAGCATTGGGTCTATCTCGATTGGTTGCAGTACCGAAGCGGTGGGATGATGTATGTGAACCAAACGCTGGCAACTTTGGCGATCGGGTGCCTCTTGGAGGTGCAGCCACGAGGTTTTGTAGTTATGGTCTTCCAAAGTCTCATCTACGAGGGTGACGTAATATCATTTCATAGTCCAGAGTATGTCATGTGTGTGTATCGTACAGGAATGTATCGTGGTCGCGGTTGCTCTCGTGCAATTCTTCGTCGTTGCCGCCTTCTCTCACCTAGGAAGAGTAAACACTGCAATACCCAGGTCATCATCGCCTACTCAGAACGCCCATAACGCGGAGAGATCATGATCATTCGTACATTCAGGAAGGAAGCAAATATTGCTTGCGGGTGATCGCCCACCGCTCACCAACGCGAGATCAATGACCCTTACCCTTGCCCTACAAACCTCGGCCTCGAGCGAAGCCACAGGCACGCCTCCGTTACCACAGATGATCGCCCGCTATAAGCGTATCCACAACACGGCGAAAGCACCCATTGCCATAAGTGGTATCGACACCGCCCATCTTTCTGCACCCGCTTGCATGTTCACGAAAGGGCTTCCATCGCCGTTGGCCGGAGGATCTGGCTCATCCGACTCCGACCCCGTCGCCGATGGAGGTGGAGATGCGGTCGATGAGGCTCCCGCTGTCGGCGCCGGAGCGGAAGGCTGGGCAGTTTCGCTGCGCAATGACACCGCAGACGTTGGCGACGCGCCAGCAACGGTAGACGTGACGATGCTGCCTGTACTGATGCCGGTTGGGTTCACTACTATGGGTACGACTATCTGCAATGTGTTGCCGTCGCCATCGGTGGTCGTCCGGGTTATAGTTGTGCTAACTGGGCTTGTGAAGCCATCGCTATCATCGTCGTCGCTTTCGCTGGTGGTGGTGGTCGGCTTCGGTGCAGCGGCGGTCGTCGTAGGAGGGGCACGCGTGGTCGATGGCGGCACGTAGCTACTCGAGACGGCGTCGTATGCATCATCCACCACCTCTGCCGGTATCGTACAGCCTATTGCATCGCAATACAGTTCTAGCGGGCCGAGGACGAGTTCGAGAGCCCAGTCGTCCGCATCGCAGTTGGTGACGGCGCACGCGACGGCGCTGGGGAGGTAAGAGGCGCTGCTTTCGCTTGTCTGACATATACCTGCACAACCATCAGTCCATGCCGCAGTGGAGCGATAAAGGCACCGACTCACATTTCCTATAGCCGCAACCCGCTTCTGTGTTGCCTAAGCAGTCCTGCCAGCACTTAGGCAGACCTTGCAGCCACCAGTCCCGATGCGCAACGGCACCCAACGCGAAGACATGCGCAAACAATAGCCATCGCCCAGTAGAGGCGAACATGATCGTACAGTTGGCAAAGAGCGACGTGGTAGCGAGCGACAGTCGTGGTGAGGCAAAGGCGATTGCAGCCTTAAGGGGACCAGTCGTCCACAACCTGCTGTTCTGCGCCTACCACCATCACGTCTGTACTCACAGGAGTCGCATGGCGAGTGGCGCCTGCATCCTTTACTGACCACTATCAGCCGGAACCAACCAGTGTGTGGCATTGATCGTCGCCGTCATCGTGTCTATTCGCTTGCGTTTCAGCTTCGGGAAATATGCAGGCGAGTCGGGAGTCCGCTTGTCCGCTTTCTCACCATAGTCACACAAGCACTGTTTGTAAGACGATGCGCAACTATTGACACTTTGGGATATTTACGTTAACTATACGCAACTGCTGACTCCTTAATAGAGTGACGTCTACTTTGCATGCGGAGTGACCACGGTGAAGTTACCCCAACCTCCGTTCTTTGCAGCGTTCTCAATGGCGGCATGGTGTGCATCGAGGCTGAAGGTGGCGACCTCAGCGCCATTTCTTTTCCCAATCTTTAAGAATCCAGCTGTCACCATATTGATGACCAGTTGTGCTGTAGTGGGTTGATACATCCACCTTCCCGTTACCTGCAAGTTCTTGTGAACCATAACAAGATGTGGCAGCACAAGATCCCCACCTGCGCCACCGCTCAGAACGACTCTCCCGCCACCTTTGAGGGTATGCGACACCGCCGAAAGATACAGTGGTGTTGCGAACTTCCCAGGTGTCCAATCATTGTAGACATCGACACCATCTTCAGGAGCGACCCCTTTGATCGCAACGGCATCGCTTTCTACGTTTCCCGTCATCACCACGTGCTGTAGGCGATCCGGACTCCCAAGAGCGAGTTTCATGTCTTCCAATTTCTGCTTGTTTCTTCCCAACGCGATGACATTGGCGCCGAGCGCCAGCGCGACTTCCACAGCAGCGCCACCAAACGAACCGCCCGAAGGTCCAATGACGACGGTCTCACCAGCCTTGATATTTGCTGCCTCGATAAGTGCACCGGCCGCTACCATGTATACAGGGAGGAGAGTGAGATCCGCAGAAGTGTACGTCAACTCGCCCAAGAGACGTTGCTCATTCAGCAAAAAGCAGTTCTCCAACGGCACCTTTTGAAATTGTTGCAATGATCCATCACGCCATTCATGCATCAACTTCTGGTGCGCATCCGTATCATCACCCCCATGATGGCCCTGCATGATGATAACTTTTGGGTCGTCTCTGGCGCGAACCGTTGGATCGACGTAGACCAGATCTCCCGGCTTCATTTTCACAGAATCCGATCCAACGGCGTGGATGCGGCCAACGGCCCCTGGGTTTGGAACGAATGGTGGCTTGAGATGGAGGGCAGCGAGCTTGCCACTATGTACGGCATTCGTGTACGGGGTCAGAAACGTTGCTTCAACGCGGATGACCGCTGAGCCTTGAGTAGCAGTGGGTACGGGTAGAGAAACGACTTCCGAAGGAGAAGAGAAAGAAGAGAGCCAGACGGCGCGGTTGTTCAAGCTTTCTCCCATGTTGTAAGTCGGGTTGTGCTTTGATATCTACTTACTGGCAGATGGGCTTTTGGTCTTATACATGGGGATGGCCCATACCCACAGGATGTAGTGACGTCGCACTCTTTTCAGTCTACCCCGACATTTGCAAAACCTCCGCAATGCCTTGCAGTCGTGCACCGGAGCCTTGGGTCACGACGCGTCGCTGTCGCAAGCATTCAAGCGCATTCGATACCGTGCTCTTATTGGAGGCGGTAGCTTGTATCGAGCGATCATACCCGTGTAGTAATCAGCAGCATGAACACATACTGTTAACGAATGCGCTACCACCGGTATATTTCATTGGCATTCTACATGCTGATTGGGTATAGTTTGTCCGTTCGACGAAGCTTGTTCGCACATCACAGCACATGGTTCGTACAACCGGAATTGTCGGCTTTAGAGCAAGGCCGAGGGCGGCTCTTGCGATCTTCGATATGTAACGCACGCCCCAGAAACATTTCTCTGCGAGTCGAGCGCTTACCTGATGTGCGAACCGTTCTACAATACTCGTCACAGAACCTGTACGATTATATCCGAGAACATAACTCTGAGTGATTACTTATTACAAGTGCGACGCAACCTGTAACATGGAGTGACTCTACGACTCTCTATTTGTAAGAATACATGTAATACTTTAGACAGGCGTCTTAGCAGGTAGTTACTGTCGTAGTAGTCGTTATCCAACGAGCCTGACAATTATGATGCGTGTTGCACGACCACGAAGTGCGCCATCTTGTCACGATCGACAAAGCAGGAGTTCACTGCTCGGGATTATCGTCACGTGTTGCTCAAATACATATGCCTAAGCTCCCTGAACACTTTAATGCCGTCCTGTTCCTTCACACTACTTACGTTCAACACTGGATACCCTGATGTAACCTTTATTAGGTCCAAGACGAGCGTTACTCCCAACGACAGATAATTCATCTAACGCCTTGCTAGGCTGTCTCATACGGGGGTGCTTCGTATCATTAATGTCCAGGACAGCGAGTTCGACTTGTGACCTAGTCACCGGAACGTCCTTGGTTGTTCGTGTCCAATCCCCCAAACCTAGGTTCTCGTGCGCCGATCGTTGCAAATGCAATGTTGAGTTCCCCAACCACTCCGCACGTCCGTATGCAAGTTTTTGATTATGGCGTAAAACTCGTAGTTTACTGATGATGGCGAATATCGTCTCTAAGAATAGCGATGTGACAATGATACAGCCACCTAACACTAAGACAATGGAAAGCATCCATACCCTGAAAGAGTAATGTGCGGACGACTTAACTCTCTAGCGATGAGATTAGCGAGGACCGTTTGGAACAAAGAGAGCACGAACCTGGCTATGACACATCCTGTGACACGGTCTTTTCTTACAAGCACCAGGCGCCATAGGTGGCCAGTAACCTCGCGCATACTCGACTACGTTAGCTTGAAGACCGATCATACTAGCTTTGTACATATGCTCCCGCTCTTGCTGCCATTGATCTTTGGGAAGGAGGGCCATCTGGGTGTTTCCGAAAACAGTATTCTGTGCGAGAAGAGCCGGAGCACCGTTTGTGACCGTCCAGGAAGCTTCCAGTTGTTTGTTAACCAGCAAATTTATGATAGGTGCAAGGATTGAATAATCTTGAGAATTGGACTGGTTCAGGACGGTAGTACCGACACATCCTGTTCCAGCTGGGAGATCTGCACCACAGAAAGACATGTCTGTCACGCAGCCTAGCACACCTGCACCGGCGTGATCCCTTTGGGCATGACTAGCAGTGCCATTTTCTTCCAAGAGAGTAGTCCTTGAAAACCACGGATCACTACTTTTGTTTAATGCTAATATCTCGGAAGTGTCTAGGAAGAGGAGCGAGACCTCGCCTTCAGTCGTTGTCTGCAGTTGGGGAACCCAGTCTATCGAAGGATGCCTGACGACCCTGAAGATGTGTTAAGAGGATATAAAGATGCGTTCTCAAAGGTCGAGTAGGAAGTTGTGCTGTTATATAGAATGAGTGAAAGACTTACTGCATCCGATAGCTGCTGACTGACATGATGTCTATAGTCCACACTGTCTTATCCAAGTCGTAAGTGTAGAGATAAGGCTGAAATGGGATCGATCCATATGTATATGCAAGAAGGCGCCGCCCTGAGTTATTGTCCGTGATTATCTTTGTATAACCATGCGTACGGAGTGGAGCACAGCGCGTTGTATAGCGGAGAATAAAGCGTGGGATATTGTTAAGCCCAAGGTGTGTGTCAGATTCGACGTTGCCAGAGTCGAGTAGTAGATTGCCTGTGCTGGACTCACATATCTCCACGTCAAAGGGGCATGATGCATTCCTGTCAGTTGTGAATGGTAATGCTGACTTGACGAAAGTGTTGCAACTTCCGGCGGATGATGCATTCGTACCGTTGTAGCATTGGGTCGCATGGTTAAAAGAGTCCTGGTTTATCCGGTTGTGGTACGGCGTCAGCGAGGTAATAGCCTTTTGCGCTTCCAAGTCCGTGAGCTCATTATCCATCTCAAGCACACCGCAGTAACGGCCCGATATTAAAGCCTCATTTGTCGCGCTGAGTAGAGCCTTAGATGATGTGATGCCTGTCTTGGTATTCAGTATAGTTGTGAATAGAAAAGTAAAGTTTGCGGAACGTACTTAGTCCTAAAGAAGCGGCTGAAACAATAGCTGCTAAGCATGCGACGGGAAGTAGTCTTCTGTGATTGCTCCCGATCCTCCCATGCCAGGCACGAACCGATTGTAACAGACTGAGGGCGGTATCAAAGGCTACAGGTGAGTTACGTAAGACAGCTTGTCGTTGATGATAGATGCCGTCCTGCGCTACATTTGTTGAAAACGCTAAGTGCAGAGTAAACCGTACGATCTTCCAGAAACTGCGCACGACTAGGCTAGTGTATATCGCGATGAACGCAATCAACAGAGCACCTTGTTGCTGACTAAGCGTTAGGGTCGCACCGTGGAATGCCCCTAGGGGGCGATTGATCCAGACGCCAGTATATATGTCGTCTTCGATGGAACCAACGGGAATCGTGAGGGACATTCCGTTTGATAGTTACTACTATCAGGTGACTGACACTGAACTAATACTGTGATCAAGACTAATCTAAGTGACGATAGGCATTCTGCGTGTTCTTGTCTGAGGGGAACGCTGACGACGGGGGTGAAAATTTGGCGCTGAACTATCTAGTGTACGCGCAGAATAGAGTTGGTCGCTTTGCAAGCTCTGGACCAGGCGGAGAAATGATGAGAGAAGAGCTTAATATGAAGGTCTAGAGTAAGCCTCAAATGCACAGCCTGACCTCGTGCATCACTTACCTTCTAAAAATACGTACAAGCTGCAGTGCATTAATCGGTTATGCTTCAACGCCATTGGGTCACATTCACGTGTGCAACGTTCTGGCAGCCATGGCGGACGCGGGCGGCTAGCAGCGTTGGCGTATGTGGGCCGGCCCGACCATTGGCTGCGGGGCTGCTGAGACCCTGACGTTGGTGAGTGAGATTGGTGCCTAAAATCTAGCACTGCGTCGAATAGGCAACGCTGAGAGGACTCAAGGCAGTATGTAATCAGGTGTTGTCATTTACAGGATGTGATGTGTAACAGAATTAACGTCTAACTGCTACATCCACTCCCCAAGAGAAGCATGTGTTTTCAACATTAGGTGCTTGGACCACCGTCGATCAGACATAGACTCCTTAACCAGCCACACCGCGTAGGTCGTGATGCATATACAGCTCGCCAGATAGAACATCGGTCGCCTATCATCGTCGGTCTCAGTATTCTTTGTTCGTCTGAACCTTCCGCAGACCCCTTGACCCAATGTCACGATCATGCGCAAACACGAGCTCCAACTCATTGTTTGCATTCGCACGTATGCCAACCCCCTCATTGAAAGTACTAAGATAGTCGATGCCCACAGAGACGTTCCCCAGGTGGTCAGGTCGATTTGACTGTAGAGCGAGAGCCACAAGCTCAATCGATGGATTCCAGGCTGTAGAGCTATAGCCGGTGAATAGCATATAGGCGAGGTAAAGAACAGTGACGACGCAGTAGAAACATAGAACTGCCATCGAGAGGCGAACAGATGTGGAATGATTCTCATGGCCGAAACCGTACCAAGTGTAGGTGAAGCGGAAAGAAGATGTATTGTTCGTACTCTTGCTTAACGCGTCTTCTCGCCAGCTCGAATCGTACCGAGAGGGGATTGGGATGTTCGAGATGGTGTCTGTCAGCGACACGGCGAGTGCACGGAACATTCCGAGGCCTTTAGAGGTCAACTCTTGTAAGAACTTCTGGTCCTTTAGTTAGCCTGTGATCATGAAAGAAAACGAGGCGAGATTGCTGCCGGTTTTACTCGCATGTTCTGTAGGAAGTACAGTTGCATTCGTTCTTCGCACATGCTTAGATATGAGAACCAGCGGTCGCGACGCAGCATGGTATCACGATCGCTACCAGTGGTTTTCGCATCGAAATCGGCGAGATAAACCAGACAAAGCTAGGCATTGTTTGTCTTGTCGATGCAGCATCAGCCACCTCAGCAGAGTTATCCGAAGCGATGCGAATAAAGGACGGTTTTATTTGTTGGGTCTTTGTTGAATCATGATAGGCTAGGCGCCGCGGCCTAGGGTACGTCATCTTGGCCCATTAGGCTCCCATCCCCCAATCCGTGAGGTTTGACCCCGCATCGTTGCAACCTGGACTGCGACTCATACATCCGTTCCGCAAGATTCCCCCGGCAAAGTTGAAGAAGTGATCTCTTCATCGGACAACATTCATATAATTCATTTAGAATTTCTAATTCAGTTGAAGATAGTATCCAGCTATTAGCAAAGACAATCAACCATGCAACACGAATTAAGATCTGCGAACAGTAAAAGTATGAATATGTGCTCTGGTCCTACCGGTCCCCGGGAAGAATTATATACAAGTGTTGGAACGTTCACGCGAAGTCATCATCTATCACCTGTAGATGATGGACAAATCCGTATACTGGCTGTCACTGTTCAAGATGATAATGTCGAAGATATGGTGCTCAGCCTTGTACCTGCACGACTCTCAGGTGATCGAGAACGTCCTTTTACGGATATCACGATGGAATACACAGCAATTTCCTACGCTTGGGATCCGAGATTCAATGTTGAGGATAATCTGCAAGTACCGTGCACGAGTCCAGTCACAAATCAACACTGCCTAAGTTTCAACCCTGACGGGAACTGAGATACGATGTTAATACCATACTCACAATTCTGGATGCTCGTTGATATCCTGCAAGTTGTCAGGCAAGGAGCAGGGTGTAACGAGAAAGATCATGTATGGACTAGGTTCTTCTGGATCGATCAGATTTGCATCGATCAGTCCGACGATGCAGAGAAGTCAGCACAAGTGCGAATGATGCATGACATATACTACTGCGCAAAAGAGACTCTAATATATCTTGGCGAAGAGGACAAAGATACTCAGTCAGCTTTTGATCTTGGAAGAACTTTTGCCTCAGTCAAGGATGAAAACATAGACAGAGTTTTACAGATTTCGCAGGACGGCAGGTACGATCAGCGAAAAGTAAACTGGCCTTTGTTGCTACCTCATCTTCCCGTTGACGTAGCAATGGATGCAGGGGACGCCTTTGGTCTGCATCTGTTGATGTGTAGATGGTTTGATCGGACATGGGTAGTACAAGAGATCGTAGCTTCCACGGAAGCTCGATTAGTCTGTGGGAATCAAACCATGCTCTAGACTGACCTTGCGGACGCATGTGAATTCCTCACGGCTTATGGAGACTGGTCACGTTACCTAGGGCTAGAACGTTGCCGCCAAACGGTCGATATGGAATGCGCAAGAAAATCCTATCTCTTCTGGCGCTTGTTCATCACCATGGAAATCCGGGAAGTAGAACTCGGAGAATTTGCGGACAACATTCTGCAAGCAGCAGGTGAATCCGCTAGGAATAGGACGTTTGGTCGACTATTCATGCTGTTCACTATGCGAGGAGTAACAGACCCGCGAGATACGATCTTTGCTATGTTCAACATTCTCTCGGAAATTCAAGGCTGTACTACTGGTGATCTTATTGACTATAGCTTGTCACCACGAAAGGTCTACCTGAACGCAACGCAACTCTGGGCGAGGAGCAGTCAACTACGAAGAGTTTCCAATGGACTATCAAAGGAAACAGAGTTAGGGCGGAGCGCGACAGAGATCTCGTTTTTTGATTTTGTCGTAGACTTCGAATTCAACGAGAAGCTGAATCTTCCGTCTTGGGTGCCTAGTTGGCGAGGAACATCGGGTGCTTTCTATGAGAATCCCAATTTCTGTGCTGCCACTAGAGCCAAGCCATACCTCAATCCACCAGATCCAGTTCTGTTTGATGACGACGAGATACCGCTACTTGTTAGAGGCATCAAGCTATTCACAGTATCGATGCTGAGTCCAGTCACGGCCGATGGTGAACTTTCAATATTGGAACACCGAAAAATGCTCAGTCAATTTGTGGATCCATATCCAACAACGGAGGAAACATTCGCAGAAGTTTACGAGAGCACTCTAGACTTAGACGCATCACAATCAATCTGTGAAGGCAACAGACCTTGCAAATTCTGGGACGTTATCTGCAAACAGCCGGCAGCCCTTCCACAAAACACAACCAAGGATATGACGGGGTCATGCGTGGGGCCATTCCAGGAGTCCTGGCCTATTGCCTTACGGCCAGGGCTTTTTGACTCAAAAACCTTCAAAGGCTTCACGAAAAAGCGGAATCTTTTCATTTCACAAGACGGCTTTCTTGGTCTAGGTCCCCCTCGGCTAAAAATGGGGGATATTGTCTGTTTGCTGTTTGGAGGCGCAATGCCGTACGCTCTAAGAAAGTTAGAATCTGAGAGATATGAATTCCTCGGATATTGTCTTGTATATGGTATCATGTCAGGTGAAGCACTGGAAAGTATGCCCAAGGATAGGATCGAGAACTTCATCATGGTTTAGCTTAGTAAGAGCAAGGTTAAGAAACTATCTTACCATGTATGCTAAGCTGCATTCTGTAGTCAAGCGCTTACGAATATATCTGGCCTACTTTTGGGTCAGTCAGGGCAAATGTGACTCAGCGTCATACTCACCTACAGGGCTGAGTAAGTAAGCAATGTTACGACATGAGAAGGTTCCTTTGTAACTTCATTGCCCATCTTTTGTGGCGGCAACCACCTCCACTTTCGTACGGCATATCATCTAGGCGATATTCCTGATGCAGAACGAATCGATCCAGACGTAATCAAACCTACGTCGCTGGGCCTCCCGGCATGTGCACTCGATCTTTGTCCAGCCCCTGGCCGTGGTGCGCGTAGCGATGTCGTTGAAAGCCTGGAAGTTGACCTCTTCGCTGTCCCAGGTATGCGAAAGGATAGCAAAGGGAATTGGCGGGCGTCCGATGAACTCCTGCATCCGTAGCGAGCCGCCGCGACAGTCGATCAATCTCATCTTGTACAGACAAGATGCGTGTCGTATTGTTAGAAAATTCGGAAGTGTGAGTTGTTGACGCAGCTTATCGCTCCCAGGGCTGCGCACCATCCATATCAGCATCAATACGTGCCAGCGCTGTCGGTGTTAGGCGCAATCACTGGCGGCACGGCTCGCTACGAAGCTTCGTGGACGGCAGCGCAGTTGCCTAATCGCGCCCGTTACCGTTATCAACACTAGCGGCACCTCATTGTGGACGGGTGGCATAGAGTATAGGTTTCTGATGAGAAGTACCTATCATTGGGTCATACATTCGGCTTACTGCAGTGACATGAGTGTGGTTCAAGATGAATGAGTAGAGATTCTGCAAGAAGCGATGAGCGCGACTCAGGTGTGCGAAGAAACTCGTTCCTTCTCAACGCTTGGACTACACCCAATCTGGACTGACGCCAATTTGAAGGCACCTTGAATATACAGCTGCATATAATGAAGCCAAGTGTTTGGAAACACATATCTACTGCATTGGGGCACAAGATTTACCATCGTGTCTGGAGTGTTGGCGTGTCGGAAACCGGATTTAAGCGAGTCCAAGACCAAGGTGACAGGGCTCCGACTAGGCACCTTTCCCCTGGTACGTAATTATCTACAAAAAGGTATGACGCGGATCTTTCGGATGCGATACTGATATTGCCAAGGGTTGGCAGCTGTACCCCCAATTTCCGGAATGGGGAAGGTGTGGGGCCGCGTCGGGTCTCTAAAGGAAAGGAAACACGAAAGCAGCAGGCATCAGGTGTCGTACGGGGCTGAGCTCTTCTTTCGCGAACAGCGGACCCGGTGCCAAGTCTACATTCCTTAGTGAAATAGTCAAGGCAAGACCGGGATAGGCGACACGTCGATCCAGTGACAAACGAATCGTAAAGCTAAAGATTGGGCTGTACGGGAAGGACTCCTCAGATGCGCTGAGTATAACTGCAGGCCTCCCTCTTTATCCCACAACGCTTCGCGAAGTTTCGAGCCATGGAGAACACCAAGTACACGCCCGTCGACTCTACCGAGACTAATGATCCATCAGAGCAAAAGAGAAAGAGCTTGCTGCCCCGAAATGAAAAATGGCAACTGGGCATCTTCTACGCAGCCCTCGCGACTTCAATTGTCTGCGTTTTAAATCTCATCATCACTATATGGGCGTTTGTGACTCACGGGATGACGTACGGGAGCGCTGTGCTGTACGAAGGCTCCTGCGAGACGACTAAGAATTTGAACATCGGCGTCCATCTTATCATCAACATCTTCAGTTCTGCCATACTGAGCGGCAGCAACTACACTATGCAATGTTTGTCCTCGCCTACCAGATCGGAGGTGGATGATGCGCATGCGCGAGGAACATGGCTGGACATCGGAGTGCCTAGCATTCGCAACCTGCGCAGCATTGCGAAGCGGAGGTTGTGGATTTGGCTACTGCTGTGTGTATCATCAATACCGTTACATCTCTTGTAGGTCGGACCCAGTGATCATCACGATATGCCGACCATGCACTCACGCAAAACCTGGATTGCAGCTACAATTCTGTTGTCTTTACAACGCTCTCAGGAAACTCCTACTTTGTTTACATCACGAACGAGGCGTGGCTTTCGTCGTCCGATAGTCTTATCGTTCCCGACTCGGGGGAGTACGGTCCACTTCTGACTGAGCTTGTGGACAAACAGCTCTGGAAGGCAAATCAAGCTGGTTCGCTCCAGCGCCTCGAACCCAGGTCATGCATCGATGCGTACGCTCGCTCCTTTATATCCGCTCGAGGTAATCTCCTCGTGATTACCTCTAATTCTACCAGCTCCTCCGAAGCAGGGGAAATCTTTGACTACGCATCTGGAGGCGAAATTACCATCACTGGAGGCCAGGATGCCACAAACCTCGACCCGTACTCCTGGATATGCGGCGACAGCCTGAAGTGTCTCAAATACTACAAATCTAGTAAGTTGAGACACAAGTGTATGGAGTACGAATTCTGCGATGTCGATGCTCTGGGGATTCGCAACAACCCTCAGAACTGGACATTGAATCAGCGGAAAGTCGATTACTGCTTAAGCACGGAGACGGAAGAACACTGCAAATTGCGCCTCAACGCTGCGATCGCGGCCCTGGTCATCTTCACAAATTTTTGCAAAGCTTTGCTAATCATTACCACATACTTTTCGACAAGAGAGCACCTCCTCCTCGGCATCGGCGATGCCATAGTCAGCTTCCTGTCTCACCCTGATCCAGTCACTGAAGGCTCATCCCTCTTATCTAAGGATGATGCAACGCCTCATCAAAAGTTCTCCAGTTCTTCGTTCGGGCCGCGCCCCTTCCACTCATCGCGCAAGCGCTGGCTCGCCGCTGTCTCGCGGCGCCGCACAATCACCATCTTCACAACCGCCGCTCTAAGTCTAATCATCTGCTCCGCGCTACTCATCTACGCCTCCTTCAACATGAAAGGCGCAAAGCCATCCGACATATGGACCCTCGGCTTCGGCCAGCCAAGCGAAAACACCCTCATAACCTTCGCAGGCATCCGGCGCCGTATGATCCGCACCGCCGGACTCCTCTCCAATGTCCTAATTGCAAACACTCCCCAATTAGTTTTGTCCTTTATATACTTCTCTTGCAATGCTCATCTTACTTCCATGCTCGCTGCTCGCGAATGGTCGTCCTTTGCCAAGACTAGGAAGGGCCTGCGCGTGCACACACATCCGCGCGGCGCTCAGCGCGCAACGTACTTCCTGCAACTGCCCTGGCGGTACAGTGCGCCCATGATCTTGGCAGGTGCTCTGCTACATTGGCTCGCATCGCAGAGCATTTTTGTTGTTAGCGTCGAGTGGTGGGCAAATGTGAGTCAGACTGTACCTGAGAGTACGGAGATGCAGGTGGGAGAATGGGGAAGGGATGATTGGCATGATTTCGCTACGTGCGGATACTCGCCACTAGCGCTGTTCATCTTTATCATTCTTGCTGCAGTTTTTTTGGTGGTGATGGTGGGGGTTGGGTGGAGGTGGTTGGAGGAAGGGATCCCTGTTGTGGGAAGTTGTAGTTTGGGGATCGCGGCCGCCTGCCATGTGGATACAGGTGAAGAGAGGCTCTTTGGTGAGGGGCGATTGAAATGGGGTTCGGTTGAGCGGCTCGAAGAGGATGGGAGTGTGGTGAAGAGATGTGGGTTCTCGATTGGGGAGGTTGGGTGGCCCGTGGAAGGGGAGGTATATGGTTAGGTGACATGTGAATGTGACTGGAGTAGAATATATTTACAATGTTGCAAACAAACTCTGGCTTTCTATAGCGTGCTGTAGGTCTTTTATCCACTATGAACTCATTTCTGAGGCTTTCACAGGTCACGATCGACATTGAGGTCTACCTCGCCCGAGGCAGTGCTCCATCTATCGAGTAGACCGTAGTGCTTTTGATTCGCAGTCAGGCAACAGCATTATGAGTGGGCCAGTGGTGTGAGGTGAACAGGCGGAAGATCCTAAAAGTATTAGGGAGACCATCATGCAAGGACTCTATGGGAATCAGCCGGCGCTATTGTATGCGATGAGCAGACCTGGAAGCTGCACCTCTTGACTGAAGGCCGCTCGGGAAATCGGACTGGACACGCTTCGTCTAGGATTTCCACGATGTCTCGGGAATTGCCGGCTCCGTCGAACGCAAAGTCGCAGCTTGTCCGGCATGCATGAATCTCCGCCACCTAGTTTTACAATCAAACCCAGCCAACTTTTCACCGTCTAATACTAGCTCTTCTTTGGATTCATATCTCCATATGACGTCTATGCATAAAGTTGCCCCACTCCCATAGGAATCCTAAGCCGCTCACAAGGTCGTAGCAGCGCCGTGTTCGAGAGTCTAATACAGTCGTTCCACTTACTGTCAGCACTCCGTTAACACAGAGACCATGTCTTATCCCCTCTCTTGCCAACTGAAAAGCGTGGCATGCTGCAATACTACGCCCCTTCAGTGGCTCAAGCTCCTCTTTGGGCGCACTGCATGTTGGCTCCTGTCTCAGCAGGTTGAGTCGTTCAACGCTCTAGAGTCTATACCCGCTTAAATATGCTATAATCCAACACATCCTCAATTCCAGGCCAACCGAATCCAGTCTCATCGTGTGGATCCCGGACAAGGTGATAGGCTCAGCGGTGAGGGCAGGAAATTGCACTCTGCTTACGCTGTTACTCAGCTCATCGCTGGAGATAAATGCTGGTTTTTGCCACCCAGATATAGCTCGAATGCACTAAACTCCCAAAGCCATCAACACACTCGTGCATTACAAAGTTTGAACAGTGAATTGCAACACCCGAACAGATGCAATATCAACATCCAGCTATACCGCTGTCGCACTCTTAAATTCTACGGAAGGATCTTTACATGATCTATAGCTTGGGAAACCTTACCCTCAAAAACTGATTCGGCCACGCAACATCCAGACCCAACTGCCACGCAACCCTCAACACCCACTCGGGCTCGCGCATAAACTGCCTAGCAACTAGTACAACATCGGCCAACGGCTCTTTACCCTCAGTAACCTTGACCGCAGCCCTAGCCTCCTTTGCAAGTTCTGTATCGCTGATCTGGGAGACCGCCGCATCCGCCGCACCACCTTCTTCGACGATATCTCTCGCCTGTTCCGCTTCAGTAATGAGACCCACGGCACCGATGAAGAGACCAAGATTCTCCTTTTTAAGCTCAGCGCGTATCTGAGCAGCGATTTTAATCTGGTAGTCTTTTGAATCAAACATGTTGATTCTCTGCTCCGGGTGGTTGCCCCCACTGCTCACATCGAGGAGATCAACACCCAGGCCTGGCAGCAGTTTGGCGAGGCGGATTGAGCTTTCGACGTCCCAGGAGCCGAGCTTCTTGCCCTTTTCTGTTTCCTCCATCCAGTCGGTAGAGCTGATGCGGAGGTACACGGGCATACTGTCCGGAACGACGGCACGAATCGCTTTGATGATTTCAACAAGGATGCGCGTGCGGTTCTCAAAGGAACCACCGTACTTGTCCGTTCGTTGGTTTGTGACGGGCGAGAGGAATTGGTGGATTAGGTAGCCATGCGCACCGTGTATCTCAATCACATCGATGCCGGCTTTGACTGCTCTTTGCGCTGCGGCGGCCCAGTCTTGGACCAATTCGCCAATTTCCTCTTCGCTCAAGGCTCGAGGCGCCCAATATCCGCTGCTCTCGTCGTCTGCTGCCTTCTCATCCCAAGCCCATTCTTGGCCGCCCATGGGACCAACGACGTTAGATGGCCAGCCACCTGCATCGACGTCGGCTTTTACGCTGACTTTCCTCGTCCCACCAGCTGTTTTCTGTGCACCAGCAATCCAGGGTGCGCACGTGCTGGCTTTTCTTCCTGCGTGAGCTAGTTGGATGCCACTCTGGGCTCCTTGGCTTTTGATAAAGTCCGATACTCTTCGCAGTGCGGGGATCTGGGAGTCGCTCCATAGACCGGGGCAGTTTGGCGATATACGACCGTTGGCTTGCACACCGGTTGCTTCTATGAAGACTAGACCCGCGCCTTTGAGGGCGTAGTGGCCGAGCGTTGCGATGTGGTAATCGGTCAACGCGCCTGTGGTCGGCCCCTCAGATGCGGTGCTGTACTGGCACATGGGTGCTACTAAGATACGGTTGCGCAGCGTGGTGCCGCGGATCGTGAGGGGTGTGAACAGTGTCGGCGTTGACCCATTTTGCTGGGCATTGGGAGCTGGTGTTCCTGGACTGGTGATGTGTTTTGGGGTAAAGTAGGGCAGGCCTGGGACGCCGTTGTTGTAGTCTTGTGGTGCCATGTTGGGTGTTGAGCCTTGAGAATCGGTCCGACGATTGATGTGCAAAGGTTTATGGTAGAAATAGAAGGCAATGCTAGAGGAAATACCGAAGCTACTTGTGCCAGAGCACGCAATGTCGTTGATTTGTAAGTAACAACAAGTTTAGATAGTTACCGAGGTACGTGGACACTCGCCTGAATCAGCAGGTGGTCCTACAAAAGGATGTCGATCTTCAAAATCACCCATGTGTACAATGCTTCGTACAGGCATACTCAAGCACCCGGATGCCTCAAGCCTTGCCATTTGCGTGAGCGGAACTGCGACGTTTTTCATTCCGAGCGCATGTAGCCGCCCTCGGGAATAAAGGGAAGTAGGCAATGACGCCATCGTTGACAGCCGTGCGATTTGAGTGGAAACGCTCATATTTTGAACGAGACTGTAACCAGAGCTGTCGCAAAAGAAGGGTCCAGTGCTTACGTCCACGCGTGAGCTCGAGCGCGTCGCCATGTGACGTGCTCTTGATGACGTCAACGTAACCGCTCTGTCATATAGTATCCATACGTCTACGTACTGCAGTTTATCGACCATCTACACGTCCTTTGAATTATCTTCTTCACAAGCCAGACCTACGCATAACCCTCTTCTCACACAATCACCATCATCACACCACGCACCAACATGTCTGCACCACCCGCACCAAACAACCCTGGCCTTGTCTCTTCCCACGCCCAATATGTCAAGGGCGCTGCTGAGGTATGACACGATGATGCCTTATCCCGCAGATACTTTACCGCAGTGCTGAATACTGACTTTGTCAACAGGAGACCATCGGAAACGTTACCGGTGCTGAGGCATGGAAGGCATCGGGCGCGCAAGACAAGTCGCAAGCCGTCGACGCAATGAAGGCGGCATCAGCGAACCGTGATCCCAACCAACAAGGCATGGGAGGCATTGAGGAGAAGGCAGGAAACCTCGTCGGCTGTGAAGGCATGCAGAAGGAGGGTGCTGAGAGTAAGAAGCAATAGACGGCAGCCATACACGTTGCAATGAGATAGTTTAATGAGAAATCAAGTCCCAGACATGGGCAAATGTGCGCATATCCATGTATTTGTGTCTCTTCATGGCGATTCAAGATGTGCTGGTACGTCATTGCTTGTCGCATTGTGAAGGACCCTGAGCTCCGGTTGGTGAATTGGTGAAGCATGGTCCGTGTGACATGAGCTTGAGCTTGAGCTTCTCGAATTGAGCGCCAACCCATACACGACACAACACGGCTGTCGCATTGCTACCAAACGGACCATGGCGCCCCCGATACGCGCGCGCTCAATCAAGTCAGACGCTTTCCACGAGCACTTCAGGAAGCTCAAAACATCAGTCTACCAAGACAGTCCCCGCCCAAACGCCGTATCTACCTCGCACTACATCCGCTCAATATCCTGGAATGCGTCTGGTACATTTATTGCAACCGGTGCCGCGGACAGGACACTGCGCATCTGGAACCCTGAAAAGACCAATTCCAAGAACTCGACCGAGTTGCGCACGCCCAATACGACGGCCTCGCTAGAGCGTGTTTCCTTTCACCCAATCAACGAGAACGAGCTGGCAAGCGCTACTTCAGATGGCATGGTCAGGTTCTGGGATATACGGTCCAAAGCTAGCGTGGGTGAAGTCAAGGTTGGCGAATGTCCGTTTACGCTGGCGTGGACACCAGATGGCAACGGACTGGTCGCAGGAAGAAAGGTGTGATTGCATGACGCAAAACTCGTGGATACCGCACGTCCTAACATTTCTCTTAGGACAACCTCCTCGCCACCATTGATCGATCGACGCTCAGCGTCGTCTCGGAGCACCAACAAGTCTACCAAACCAACCAATGCGTCTTCGACTGGTCAGGCAACCACCTCTACTCGACAGTCGGCGATGGCAGTGTGCGACTTTTGAAATACCCGTCGTTTGAGAACACGCTCACACTCAATGCTCACACCTCGGCATGCTACGCCGTATCACTATCACCCAGCGGCGAGTACCTGGCAGCTGGTGGTGGTGACGCGCTCATCTCGCTCTGGGACACACAGGAATGGATATGCACACGGACGCTGGAATTGACGGGCGGTATCATCAAGTCGGTCGACTTCTCCTTTGACGGCAGCTACGTCACTGCTGGCTCCGACGACAAGGAGGAGAAGAAGATTCGTATTGCGCACGTTCATACTGGCGAGATTGTACACACGATTGATGTTCCAACACCGGCATTACATGTCGCCTGGCATCCATGCCGGTACATACTGGCGTATTCGGCGGAAAACCTGGGATTGAAGATTGTCGGGGGCATCAGCTAGTTTTGTCGTAGGAGCAGGATAGAACGAGAGTGGCGTTGCATTTGGTCTGCAGGTTCGTATATGATACCCACCATAATTAGAAAGTTCACGCACAGTATATACCTCGGAACCATCATTACAAAGCGGGCTTGTTCCCGTCTTCTGTGACGCAATCGTATCGAAATATGTCGGAGTAAACCGAGTCCGACGTTATACCCCGTATAGAGGTAACTTTCTTTCGAGATACCTTCGAATTACCACTACACCATCTACGACTCTATCATCATGGACGTAACAACGCCAATCAGGCCAGCCGATCTCTTCTCAGCAAAAGGACTAGTCGTAGTCATAACAGGCGGAGGCAGCGGTACGTCTCTCAAGCTTCGAGCTACCCCACCAAGCCCCGCGCCCTCACGTCAACAGCAAGCTCACCATATCAGGTCTCGGTCTCGCCATCGCATCCGCCCTCCACCAGAATGGCGCTGAACGCGTATACCTCCTCGGCCGGCGCGCCGACGTGCTCGAAAAAGCCGCCAACAACCTCCAATCCAACACACCGCGCACCTCGCAAAGCAGCAGCGGCTCCGTCCACGGCATCCCCTGCGACGTAACAGACCTCTCGTCTGTCCGGGCCGCCGCCGAAACCATAAAGAAGGACATTGGCTACGTCGACGTCCTAATCAACAACGCGGGTGTCATTGGGCCCAAAAACGGCGCCGACATTTACAAAGCAGAGTCGATCCAACAACTCGCCGACACCATGGTCGCCGGCTACGACGACTGGTCCCAAGCCATGGCTATCAACACGCAATCCGTCATCGGCGTCAGCGCTACCTTCCTCCCTCTGCTCGAAGCAGCAAACCCCCGCCGCGGATGGGCTCCGGGCAAAGTAACAGGCACAGGCAATGCGCGGGCGCGCGATACTTCCGCCGCGGAGGCCAACGGCATAGACACCGACGACGACCGCATGGCACACATCATCACCGTCGCGTCAGTCGCGTCGTACATGCGCTGGGTATCCGCGGGTCTGGCATACAACGCTAGTAAAGCGGCGGCTGCACACTTGGGCAAGATGATGGCAACGTTCTTGTCCGAGTGGGGTGTCAGGAGTAATATCGTTTGTCCTGGGCCTTATCCGAGCGATATGACGGCTGGTATACACCCGGTCTATGGCACGAATCAGATTCCGCAGGGGAGGATGGGCGGGATTGGTGATATTAGCGGATTGATGCTTTTCTTGGTTGGTAAGGGCGGGGCGTATGTTAATGGGACTACGCAGCTTACTGATGGCGGGAGGGTGAGTGTGTTTCCTGCTGTGTATTAGGTTGGGTTGTTGGGACGTTGGGTTGAGGTTTCTCTGGGATTGCATAGGTATTCATGGTAGAGTCTTCAGTCGAATACTTGGCGTCTTCTGAGCGCTTTGTATCAGCATCCTGAGGCATATTCGACTTTTCCTTTTACCTTTCCCAAATGAACTCACAGGTGATCCGTCAATTCTTGTGCAATACCATCAATGTACTCACAGACTTAGATTGGCTAGAAAAATGCCGCTCACACACACTCCTACTTCATCACATTCGATATGAACCCCTGACACTACCCCCAGGAATCACAAAAGACAAACGTATACTTTTTTTTCCATTATTCATGTCTGTCAGGTATCTATGCTTGAACTAAAACATCCAACCCCACACCCTTCATAATATCGTAATCCACTAACAACGATTCATCCCACACGTCCAGAGCTCACACTCTGATCCCCCATCGAAAAACCGAAACCTACGACCGACCCAGCACACCCCTCACACTCCCCTTAATCACCTGGCTCCCCCTAACGCTAACCTCGCCAATTCCCGTATCGCCTCCAGACCCTCCGTTCAACCAGCGCTGGAGTAACGCATTACTCTCCATGGGCTTGATGCTTTGATCCGCCGTCCCAACCGTGACATGCGCCATGGGGTTCACCGTCTCAAACAACAATTCCTCCGTCGTCGTAGTACCCGCCGCGCCATCATCTACCTGTAGCGTACTAGATCCATTCAACCTGACAACAAAACACATGATGCGATCGTCCCACACCACCCGCTCAAGTAAGACGTCGCATGTACCCAGCTCCGGCTCCCAGGCGCCACTCGAGTTTGTCTTCTGGCAGGCGTCGTGCAGTTTGCCGAGTTTGTCCCAGTACTCTTGGTTTTGGGGCGCAGATGCGCGGTGGATGAGAGTGACGTGGAACTCATTCTGCACACGCCGGGTTTGCTTGAGTTGCTTGTACATGCGTGCGGTGTTTGCGTCTTTGTCGTTGAACAGGGAATCGAGGATGGAGTTTATGCGAGCAGTGTCGAGGCGGACGGAGAAGTATTCCATGCGTGGTGCTTTCTTTGGCTTTGCAGGCTGAGCTTGCTGGTTGTTGGCTCCGCGTTGTTGGCTGTTTTGTTGGTTTTGGTTGTTGCCCCTCTTGTCGTTCTTGTTGTTTGAGAGGTCCATCTTGAAGTCGGGTGTGTAGTCGTTCATGGCCCATTGGATAGCAGCGTCCATATCGGGGTCAGTTGGCATGTCTTTGCCCGCGAATAGGGCGGGATACGTCTCGAACATCTTGCCAATGATTGTCTCGAGATTCTCGCGCGAGTCGACGGTCGGGTCCAGGTCGATGACGAGATCGAATAGATCGTCTGGCTTGCCTGAAGGGTCGACTGGCTGGAAGCGATACATGAAGCCCTCCATGATCTGGACAATCTCATCCCTGCCTTTCGAGCCTGCTTGAATAGTCTGATGATTGTCTCCGCGATCGAGCACACGCGTCTGTGTTGCCTGTCGAATGCGGTCGTAGTTGGATCGATCGTGAACGTAGTGCAGTGCGACGAACCGGGCGTCAGGCACGTTTTTCGAGATATCATTGATAATCTGATCCCGCTCGCGCTTCTGATGGTTGTTGCGATCGGCAATGACGACGGGATTTGTGACTAGCAAAGAAGAGATGGTGTCTGCGAAGATTTGACCACGTCCCTTCTTAGCCTTGACGTTATCATTCTGAAAATGACCCCAACCAAACAGCTTCACCAGAGCGAGAGCTAGAGTCGTCTTTCCGCATCCAATCGTCGCAATGGGAACGAGCACAATATTTCGGTCCGCTTTCTTGCTCTCGACGGGCCCGTTCTGCATTTCCTGCCTGATAATGTCTGCACCAGTCGTCCCGCGGAATTTGAGGAAGTCGTCGCGCATCTTAATGATGCCATGATTCGCGTTGTACTGCTTTGCCAGGTCCTTGTTCTGGGCAAACTGCCGTCGGGCAAAGTCTAGATACTCCTTGGTGATGGCCTCGTGCTTCTTGTAGCGTGGTGGCTTGCCAGCGATCAGAGCCCTTGTGCACTCACGCCACTGGCGGTACATGAGGTACGGCTCTTCAAACTTGTACTTGAAAAACCAATCTACATATGGCGCACCCTCAGACTCGCGTGCCTGGCAGCGGATGACGAAACCCTCTGTGTCGCGGCCTTCGTAGTTGCCCGTTTCTGCGACCTTCTCCAGGAACCTTTTGACTTCTTTGATGTCGTTCTCCATTACGTATGTGACCTTCTTCATACCCCACTCGTCCGCGAACTTGTCAACGAGGTGGCCGGGATACGTCGCGAACTCGGGCAGGTTTAGGTTGATGCCGTGGATGTAAAGACCAGCCTGGTCTTTGGTGTATGCTAAGACGTGCTCCTCGAAATCGTCATCGCATAGCTCAGCTACGAGCGTCGCGTTCATGGATCGAAGCGTCCGGGCAAGATCCTCCTTCTTCCTGCCCACACTCGTGACATGGCGCTCCACCCACTGCTCACCTACCTGGGCATGGCTAAGCTCGTCGCCTCGTGGACCAGTCGAGTGTTTGCTGCACACCAATAGCGTGTCATCATCTAGACCAGACACGAAGATGATGCAGCCGTTCTCCTTGACACTCAACTCGTATGGACCCTGAGTATGTTGCTCCACATTCTTCCACTCAGTCTTCCTAATCTCACCGTGGTTGAAGAACTTGTCGTACCCCCTTGTGACAATCTCGTAGTTGCCTTCCCGGTTCTTGTATGTAAATAGTCCTCGGGCGTATGTTGGAAGGTTCGCTTTCTTGTAGTCCCAATCGTTCATCTTCCATGAGTCGACGGTCCGGCCATTGGGTAGCGAGAACGTGTGTTTCTTGACCGAGAAGCCGCCATTGCCCTTCTTGCCCTGGTGCGCTTCGAGAGCATGAACCAGGTTGGTAATCTCTTTGGGATCTTGGGGCGCATACGGTGCTTGATCGCGGTGCGCCATGATCGCGGTCGTTCGAAAGGTGCGCCGAGAAGTAGGTGAGGCGCGAGCAAAGTTTCGCAGTGGACTGGATGTCTGAAGGGAGGCTACGGGTAAGCGAAAAGTGGTGCGTGGTGAAATGCAAATGTGTGCAAGCGGGGACAATGTTTTAAGAGCGATCATTCGGTCGGTCAGGCAGCAAACAGAAATGCAAGACAAAGTGCGCAGTAGCGGTGAGTCAACATTGGATGAGCACAAGGGCGTTCCTTACCAGGCTCGAATTGCAAGAACAGATATGGAAAGGGCGCAGGCAAAGGCGCAGTCGCGTTGAAGTCAATAGGGAGTCATTTCTAGAAATGTTTGGCCCGTTCGCGATGAGATCACTTGTGGCTGTGGCAGGGGCTTTCTTCCGCGGCGCGGGGACGGCACTAAGCCCGTTTGAGAGGGATTCCTTTCCATTGCATCGCCATCTTGAAATCTGCATCAGCAGAATATGCATGATATCTGTCATTCATTGTACATTGCGAGGATAGTTCCAAGATTCTAAAAAAGTTACTGCGCAGCATTCTTGACCTTACATAACCTTATCACAGCTTCTTCACGCCCTGCGCCAAAATCTTCTCAACCTCATCTTTGTGCTTCGAGAAGTTGTCTACCAGATTATCCCACATCTTTGGGTCATGCTCGTGCTTCTTCTTGCTGTTCCAAGCCCAGTCGGTAATGGTGAACATTCTGGAGCTCTCCATCATAAACGCAATAGCGCCCTTGGAGATCTGCATCTCGGGAGGCGGTGCTGCGCTAGCTGCTTTGAACTCTTCGTAGGCAACGCCATGGGGTACGAAGCCGCACTCGAAGCTAATGCCTCCAGGTTGAAACTCATCGGAGCGGCCTGCATATTCGCCGTAGATCAAACCCATGAGCTCAGACGCTCCATTGCGATGGTAGTATGGCGGTCGGTAGGCTACAATCCAGTCAGCATCTTTAGCACACCCAGAATCTTGACGACTTACTATGCGACGCCACATCCCAGCGCGGGCTGAAAATAAGAAAATCCGCAAGCGGTGCCGCAGGGTCGCGTGAAGGTGCGGTAATAACGCAGAAGATTGAAGGATCAATGTGATCAACCGAGATCGAGCCCACGTTGACAAACTTGGTCAGATCGTACTTGTACGGTACATAGTTTCCATGCCACGCAACGACGTCGAAGGGCGAATGTTCTTGCTTGCTGACGAAGAACTTGCCGGCTAGCTTATACACAATCTCCCAGGATTCTTGTTCAATCTCATACTTTGCAATCGGGTGCAAAAAGTCTCGAGCGTTGGCAAGTCCGTTCGCGCCGAGGGGACCGAGCTCAGGAAGCTGGAACTGCGAGCCCCAGATCTCTGCTCTAATTAGCTTCTCGTCTGCTCGTATAAGATTGGCTATACCACTCACCCAGAATGTAGCCGCGTGTTGGTCCCTCAACCTTGACTCTGAATCGCTGTCCTCTCTGGATAACACAAATCTCGCCTGGCTGCACGTACATTGGTCCAAACTCAGTCAGGATATCCAGTGCTCCTTGTTGAGGTACGATCAAGAAGTCACCATCGGAGTTTACCATTGCCCTCCTGTTCATGCTTGCATTGCAAAGATAAGTGTGGACAGCTAAACCCTCGCGAAGCGTAGGATCGCCAGAACCAGCAATGCTCTTGAGACCCGAGGCAAAATCAACGTCGCCATCGGTGGGAGTATCGAACGGAAGCCACGCAAGCTGTGTAGGAGAGACATGAACACGCTTGTTCACAGGGAGGAAGTTTGACTCGGTGTCTTCGTTGTCGGGGAGATCCGTCTGGAGCTTTTGTCAGCAAATGGACCAAGTGACCGCCTCGTTGTTTGGCCGCGCTATCCATCTGACCATGCAACCCCAGTTTGGCCCTTGCATGACTTGACCGGAGTTAAGCATCGATGACGTGAGGTGAATCCCGCAGGGCAACAACATCGGTAAAGGGGCATAGCCAATGTCCAAGAAGGGTTTCTTACAAATCCTTGATGCGCAACGGCCGGACGCGCCCTATATAG